ACATAGGCTGGTCAGTTAGTATTTGGTTTGAAAAGTCATGGGCAGTAAGGAGATCCAGAATATGATGAAAATATAATAAGAATGGTTTTCAAAGAAAGAAACACGATCCTGGTGAGTGCCATCTGGAATTGAAGAAAAACATGAAATAGTTGAAAGAGGTGTCAGGAGGCCTGAATTGGAGACCTCGCTTAGCTACCTATTAGCTACATGACCCTGCCCAGACCACTTAACCTCCCTGACCTCATCTCAATAGTAAAGTCACAATAATAATAACAATACTTGCCCAGCGTACTTCACAGGGCTCTTTAGCAATCACAAGGAAGGCCAGGTAGGACTGTGGTGAAGGGCAGCGTTGCAGCCTCAGCCCAGCCACTCACTGGCTGAGTGACTTAGATGAGTTTTAGACCCCTCTAAGCTTTGGTGTTTCTCATCTGAAATACTGGGATGCTAACACCTGCCTCAGTTGGTAGTTGTAAGGACAAATGCAATAGTCCAAGTAAATCATAGTATAGTGCCTTTTGCACGGACAGTGCTCAATAATCAGTGATTTTTATCCTTAACATGATTATGTTTGCAAATTTGCAAATTGTTCAATGCATAAAAATGAAATGATATGATGTCACTGGATAACAGGATAAATATTAAAAGAAAAATGTAAGGAAAAATAGAATGGAGGTGGTTAAGCACATGGGCCATGTTTATAGTGAGCAATTCTTGTAGATCAGGATGTATGAGGACTCAAGTTCTCACGAAATTAACTCATGTTGGCTTAACTAAGAGATGGTCTTACAGATCTTTTTTAAGGATGAAAAGCACTCCCAATGATCAGTGACTTTGTTTCAGGTTGGGATGAAGTTCTCTAGTGGGTGACTGAGAATTGGGGCCTATCTAACATCTCGAGAGACACTGAGAGCCAGAGTAATTGGTATGTTAATGCAGCGATTTTCACCTGGCATGCCACCAGAATTTTTAAAACATGCAATACCTATTGAGTCAGGCGCACTGACCTTTTTTCCTTTAGATTGTCATTTAAAAAATGACAACAGCCAACACAACAATAGCAGTCCTGTGTGAATGAACCAAAATTATACCTATATTTATTGTCAGATCAGAAAAAAAAATTATTTTTGATGTGCTTCAGAATTTTAGTAATGTTTTATGTGCCATGAGATGAAAAAGGTTGAAAATCACTGTGTTAATGAAATCTGTAGACACTTAGCGAGCTCCAAGGAGCCCCCTTACAACTGGAGAAACTCAACCTGGAGGACCAGAAATAATGCAAAAGAGTCTCAGAAATTCATTCACTTGTTCAGAAAACATTTTGTCCCTACCCTGTGCCAAGCATCTTTTTAGGCACCTAAGATTTAAGAACAAAAGACACGTTCACTTTTCGCACCAAGTTTACCATCCAGTAAGGGATCAAGCAAATAAATCACAACAATTCGGTGAGGTGGTAACAGATAAATTCGGGGTACAAGAGAGCCCAGAGGTGGGGCTCCTACTGCAGGGGTCAGAGAAGGATCCCCCGAGGGAGCAACACCTGAGCAAGCTCTGCAATTGCCCAAGCAGGCAGTCTAACAGAGAGAGCGTCTTCGCAACAACCCAGGAGCCGAACTGCACGCCATTCAGCTCGGCCCTGCTGAGGCAAGGGTGCGGGACTTGGGGGAGTAGGCGGCTTCCTTTGCAGTGTTGACACTGCAGTGATTGTCTTTTAAAAACTCTTGTTTAAAAAAAAAAAAAAGATGCATGATGCCCTCATCCTCCCAAAAAATCCTGTTGGGAATTTCCTTACTGTTTTATACCAACTTGTGTCTTATTGATTCTAACAGCATCTAATGGCATTCACATTTGAAAAATATTTACTATACTTCTAAATGAACTTGTGTATTTTAATCCCAACAGTATCTACTGACATTTTCATTTAAGAAATATTATCTTATCTATGTGCTAGACTTACTAGTTTTTCATTGCAAAACAATCTTTGTTCATGCATATGTTGATGAAATTGTTGTAGTAACTGCCAACTCATCCCCCGCACCTGCCCAGAGGTCTGTGATCCATGGTTAGCATTGGAGTAAGGGTACTGGCACGACCTGAGACGGGAGAGGGAGCTGAACTAGGCTTCATTGTCCAAATGCAAATGGAACGGATGGGGACTTACTGGAGAGCTTGAAGCAGAAACAGCAACAGATCACTGGGTCAACAATGTGGCAAGTGTGGGGCAGGCACTGAACTAAAATAACAGCAGTCAATGGAGAGTAAGGAGCAAAAATGAAAAATATTAAAAGGCAGAATTGATTGGACTTAGGGACCTTAGATATAGGAACTGGGGGAGAAATATCAGATGACTCCCAGGTTTCTGGCTTAGGTAATTGGACAGATGGTGGTACCAGCCCACAGATAAAAAGACAGAGCAAAGGACAGGGTTTGAATAGATTTTACTTTAGACATGGAGACTTTGACGTTTCTGTGGGACAGCTAAGTGGGGATATATAAGTTCAAAGGATCGAGGCTAGAGATGCAGGTCTAGGAAGCATCAGTATGTGGATAATAATCAAAGTTCTGGGTGTGGGTAATGGCACAAGGGGGGAATATGGAGTGTAGAAAAGGAGAGGTCCAAAAGCAAAGACTGGGAACCCCAACCTCTGAGAGGCAGTAGGAGAGAACAGTCCCTCTGAAAGGGAAATGAAGAACGAAAACCAAGAGACAGAGACAGAGAGTGAGAGAGAGAGAACAAGAACATGGGAGGCAACAGAAGAGAAGACAGGGAGCCATGAAAACTTGTCAGTTCCACAGAGCAGGCAAGTAGATGGACCAAAAAGTTTATGTATCCAAAATGGCAATGAAAAGAATAACAAAAACACCATTTTCCACTTATATGGCTCATTATGCTTTCAAAGCACCTTCTTATTTTTATTTCATTGCATTCACACTACGGCCTATGCAGCATTCTTACAGATGCACAAAGTGCAGAGAGTGAGGTGAGGAGACTTGCCTTAGCCATCTAGCAAGTCAGTAGCCCAGCTCCTCGAATTAGAGACCAGCCCAGAGTCTTGACTACGCTTCCTGCTTCCAGCCACTCCAAGTTAGCTTTTTAACCAACGAATGAGGAAATCAGAATGGGGCCTGTTCCAGAATAACTACTCACTATTAGCACAGAAATTAAAAGCCTCGCCTAACACACTTGGTTTTGCACTACCTAACAGCCAAAGATGGCAGTATGCTGGGATCATCTGAATCGGCAAAGGCAATAGGCAATTCCTCTAGGAAAGGGCTTGCACCTAATTCTGCAAGAGGGAAGGTAAAGGTTTTCAAGTAGAGAGTGATGTACATTTGAGTATGCCTTGGAAAGATTAATCAATATTGTTGAACTTGTATTTGACAATGCATAGGTCTGGTTGCTGGATAGTCACACCACCTGAAACAAAATGATAAAAACACACTGTGAAGACCTGTCTGGGTTTTGGGGGAGAGGGATATTGTTTGTTATTGTTTGAGGGGTTTTTTTTGCAAAAGAAACACCTCTCTGCAGCCTGCCTCCCATTCCAATGAGTAGCCCGTCTTCACCAGAGAATCACTCAAATTCAGAGCAAGAGCTCCTTGCCTATTTGATGAGGTCAGTGCGCATCTTCAGATCTCTTTCCTCCCATCCCCATCCCTTCTAGAGTCAGGCCTGGCCCTCTACACAGGGGTCTCCTCCTCGCTCATTCACTCCTTAGTCATACCAACGAGAAGGGCGGAGCTGCCCCTCTGGTCTGTCAGATCTGGACTGGGTGCCAACTTACTCATGTGGGGCCAGACTCAGACCTGCTTCTCTGCCTCCCTCTCCATTGGGAGCAATTTACAACACACTTATCTCTGGGAACTCACTGCTCTGTTGGGCATGGGTTTGATTATCTCTCTCTAAACCTGTCTATCACTCACAGCACAGAAGGAACACTAAACAAAAGACCTTTACATCAATTACTAACATTTTATTCTCTTTATAGCTCAGATGATATCACTGCAATGTTATCACATGGAAGCCTGGGCAAGTCCCAGAAACAGTCATCACTACGCAATGTTGATTTTCTGAGGGTAGCTCACAGCCATGTTCCCAGCTGGTGGCTTGACTCTGGCCTTTTCTACTGACCCATAAAACTGAGCTTCAGCCTGGGTACATGGCCGTACAAGTCACTCCGCAGTCAGGAACAGCTGGGAGTTGTCTGGACTCTGTACCTCAGGCCAGGAATGGGCGATCCGTTTCCCTCTGCTCTCTAGGAGCACTGTGTATGCGGGCCGTCTCAGGAACGGAGGAGGCGCTACCCAGGGAGAATAAAAGCAGACCAGATGGGGGAATTACGATCGCAAATGCCTGCTTCTATCACCTTATACTTCATTGTGTTGCTAGAAAAATGGAAACATTCATTAAATATTAGATATGAAAACTCATTCTCAGATTAGAAAAAGGAGAATTGTTAGCTGTATCTCTGTCCTTTAAAATAATCCTGTACAAGTAATATGATGTCAATTCTCTAAGCTGTCAAATAAATGAATGAAAATTTTGAGCTAAATAGGAGATTTCTACAATCATTTTAAGCCTGTGCACCATTCCACAGGCCTAACTAAAGTGCTACTGTGATTTTTAAAAACCTAAGCATGAGATACGTTTCAGCTTCTGCATCACAGAGACTTGTCACTTGTCTAAATGATGTGTCTATGGAACTAGATGACATGTTCAAATCCTGGCTCCCAGATCTACAAGCTGTATGATCTTGAGCAAGTCACTTAACCCCTCCAGGGCAGCATGGCAATAATGACAGTTTCTTCCTCAGAGTGTTGCTGAGATGTCCGAATGTGTTATTAAAATAAGGCCCATGGGAGAGAACCTGGGCATGGAAAGGGTACGTGACGGCCGTGCACGCATCAGGCAGGCGGCCGGAGGAGCCACCCAGGCTTTGCTGCGAGGGCTCCCTCGCGATGCCTTATTAACGAGTTCCCTGTGTCTTTCTTCACTGCAGGTCAGTGCAGCTGAACGGCCAGCCCTTGGTGATGGTGGACGATGGGACCCTCCCTGAATTGAAGCCCCGCCCCCTGCGGGCCGGCAGGACATTGGTCATCCCTCCAGTCACCATGGGCTTTTATGTGGTCAAGAATGTCAACGCTTTGGCCTGCCGCTACCGATAAACCGCCCTCACACTCACACAGTGCCAGCGGGCCCGCTGGGCTGCTTTCCACTCTTCCGCCCCGATAGTATCCACATTTTTCAGACATCTTAGCAACAAACCAGTCTCTGCTGCCCCATCCTGCTGGGATCAACATAGACTTGCTCTCCCGAGATAGCATGAGCTTAGCCTAGGTAGGTCACATCCACCCCAAAGGAAAATGTGGGCATCGTCTGTACCTACAGAAGGATGAAAGTATGTGTGTCGGGCTGTATGTATCCTTGTACGTGTACCGTGAAACCAAGCTAAAGCACACGCCCCAGACTAACGAAACAACTCCCTTTGTCTCTGGTCACAAGGCCGTGGCACTACAGACCTTAGCCTGCGCTCCTGCCCTCAGAGGAAGATGAGCAAGGAAAAAAACCTGGTGGGCTTTTCGAGAGCCCCGCCCTCTTCCAACTCCTTCCCTTTGTCTGCTCCCTGCTGTTGCCCTGGGCTTCCTATCAGCTCTCTTCCCAGCGGGGAGCAAGTGGGTGAGTCAGCACTGGCTGCTGGGTGAGCTCTTTATGTAATTTCCTGGCTGATGTATGAGTGTGTACATCTGGGCTTCTGACAGTGGCATCCATCACCGGCTATTCCTCTGGGAAGCAGGGGCTTCGAAAGTAAAATTGTAATCATACTCCAGATTTTATAAGAAGGTTCTATTCCTCTGTGAATCCACATTCCCCCAGGGCTGAAATGGGAGTCAGGTAACAATATTCATTGAGTGGACAGCAATGCATTAGGCACCATGAAAGGCGATCGCCATCCATCATGTGGCTGTGAGGGGAAGAGCTTTAGTATAAAGAGAAAGCACAACAAACCACCACCACACTTCCACACAATAACAACAACAACAAAGCAAATAATTAGACCTGCCTCAAACTTGAAAGAATATTTATTAAAGGCAAGCCCTTAATGATTTGGTTGACCAAAACCATTTAAAAAAAAAAAAAGAGGCATAAATCAAAGGTCCTCACTGAAAGACACAGCTGACTGTAATCTTTCTGCCTCTTCACAGTGCACTCACTAGGCAGAAATCTAATCTGGTCATTGAAGATGACCAGGTCCGCCTGTCCCAGACCAGCTTATTTGAGTGGCAACCGAAGCTTTCAGTTAGCCACCCTGGGGAGGTGGCATCTGGAGACAGGACTGATGAGGAAACTGTGGGATGGGAGGTGAGAAGCTGCTGGTGGGGTGGGGGCAAGTTGGGGGAGTTAAAGTTTATTGTGAGGACCTTCTGGGCAGGCTATGGGGTCTTTGCAAACAATCTGCAACTGAAATGACTTCCTTTCCTGCAGATGTGATTTTCTTTCTCAGGATGAATGACATGATAGATGCTTTTTTAAAGGAGGGGATAGTTGACAATATCACAGGATTCCAACTAAAGGAGGGCTCCAAGTTCTGCTGTTGTGAGGAAGGGACAGAAATGGGGGTTGGGGGCAGGACTGCCGAAGGCAGACACCAGGGAGCCTGCCAAGGCGGCCAGGGAGGTGAATAAGGACCAGGGCAAAGCCTGCAAAGTGATGGAAGGTGAGAGGCAGGAGGAAGGTTAAACAGGAGAGGAGGTAGAAGGTTCTCCGCTTGGAGAACTGGGAGTTGGGGAGAGGGAAGCCAACAGGCTGTTTATGTTTAAGGAAGAGAGTGGACACGGTTTTGACAGGCTCATTATTAGTACAGAAGGAACAGCACACTGGAGGTGCAGCAAGAAAGAAAAGACCGGGGACAGGCTGGACCCAGTCAGCGGGAGGCTCAGCCTGGACGCAGTGGGAGAGAGGGAGGAGCGACCCTGAGGTCAGTGGGTCCCCCTCTCCTCTGGAGCAGGCACCTCCCACTGACGCTCAGCCCTGAAAGGGATGGAGAGAGAAAGGGCAAGAAAGAAGTGACAGAGGACCGGGCCCAAGCGAAAAAGACAAATGAGAGCCCAAAAGTCATTTCCCCACACTTTTAAAATTTTGTGCAGATACCAAAATCTCTTCTACACACTGGTGCCGACACTGCTGCAGGGCCCCTGATAATAACTAGAGCAGCCTGAGGTCCCTGCAGGCCTGGCCTCTGCAAGTTAGCTTCACACACACAGTAGCCCCTGCTCTTCCTGGAAGGCATGCAGAGGGCCCGGAGCGTTCCCAGGGTCACCCAGGGCGATGGGCTGCAGAGCTCAGAATAAGCGAGAGCCTGTTTATTTCACTCCCACACTCAGTGACTGCCCAGTTCGCAGACTCACCCCTTCACCAATTCATAGGTCCCGCTAATTCAGTACAGCCACGACCTCCAGAGCTCCACTCAGACACACTTTCTGTAAGTGTCGATTCTTCACTAAGTCTCCACGTGTGCAGAATATAGGCAGTTTCTGCTTCTTGTGTCTTTGTACTAAATGCTGCTCTTAAGAGGTTTGTTTTGGTTTTTAGTAAATAAAAAAGGAGAAGGGAATCACTGGCATTTATCTTCAGAGTCCTAAATTCTAACTTTGCAACTGTCTCATGGAAGAAGTATTTGCATTGTCAAAGGGAACCGAGAAACTCAGTATAAAAATCACATCCCACAGAGATTTTAGTACAGAGCATGTATCTTGGATTTTTCATTTTGGGTGGGGGTAACGACTAAATCAGTGGGGATGGCTCCTTACAATGGAGTCCCCTATCACACTTCCTGCAAAAGACACCCTGTGGCAAAATTCAGCATAGTCATCCACTTCAGGGGAGCTGCGTGGCAGGCTGGACCCCAGGACAAAAGAGCTCATCCACCAGCCTCCCAGATCGGATACTTCCTCCTAAAACAAGACACGGCTGAGGTAATCTAAGGCTTAAGAACCACTTTATTTTAAACCAGAGAATGGGCTTCTAAAGTGCTTATTTGAAGCCTGATAATGTGTAATGAGAAGTCTGTGTCTTTTGTTGAGAAGATTTTCTGCTCCTTCTGCCTCTAGGAATGATTTTCTTTCTCCTTTCTTATCGCAAAGGCTCAGAACAAATTCTCATTGTTATTTGGAGAGAGTGTCCCAATTCTTCCAGTGCCGTGAAAAAGCTGCAACTGTGAGATGTCAGCATTATCTCCAAATGGAGAAAAGTTTGAAAATACCAGAACTGAGCTACAGTGGGACACAGGCCTGGGACTCCCAGAACCACAATCCCCAGAGGCCCACTTGCCCTCTGCAGCCCCAGCCTCTCCCCCGGCAGATGCCCCCAAGCCCTGCACCTCTGACAGGGCACAGGTTGTTGGTGGAATCCGCCTGAGAAGCCTCACCGGTGCTCTGGGGCCTCCGGGGTGAGGCCGCTGGGGCGGGGGGCACCCTGCAGGACTGTGAAGTGCTGAGCTCCCGGGGGCCCGGGCCAGGCCCAGCCTCTGCAGGTGTGCTCCACCGCGTGCACTCCAGGTCCCTGTGTTTGGGGTGGATGCAGCTGCAGGATTCACCTTGGAAATCCCTTGAGAGCGGTTTTATATCTGAAACAAAAGGGAAGTGTTTAATCTCTGTAGAAGCAAAGGCAAACCAGGTGGATGAAAACGTTGGAACAGGAAAGGACTTCAAAAATTTGAAATATCAATAGAGCAACCAAAAATAATAGAGATAAATGACTTGGAGAAGGCAAGGGAGGAATGGGCATAAACATTCATGCAGCATGGCTGCTTCTGCTTCCCCTTGACCCCAACCTCAGCACCACTTTCCCAGCCCGGACACTCCTGATTGCTCTCTTCTAGTCACTTACACTCTAGTTCCACAGCCTCACCTCTGCCAGTCACTCTGTCCTCCACATGGAGCCCAGGGAAATCTGCTGTACTGAGAGGGAATTAAATTTTGGTTGTAGAAACAGTTATTATAAGGCCCAAACAACTGGAACATGCTAATCACTGCCTCTCAGTTCCACTGGGAGGAATACAAAGGCTTCTGTAACTGCCTTCCTATCTCAGTCCTGGGTAGTAAGTATTTGGGGAGGATCAGAGAAGTATTTTATCCAAGGCCATCCAGATAAGCAGAGTGGCAGGATTGGGACTTGAACCCAGGTCCGCTGGATTCCAAAGCCTGCTCTCATTACATTGTACTCTCTCCCTCGTTGGACTGGTTATGGCCAACTTATTTGCATCCCTGTGATATCCACAGTTAGCTTTCTTAACACCCTCTGCATATCTACAGAGAACCCCAGTAGTGCCTTCACCCAGGACAGTTGATCCCGGGCTTGGGGAAGCCAACAACTCCAATGGGTAGTGAGTTGGGCCATGACCAGCCTTGGCTGTAGGATTTTGAATTAGGGATCATCTTGGCCCACCAGTGGCCCTTCTGGTCTGCTCCTCTCCCTCTATGTTTCCTGTAGAGCAATTTAAAAGGCCACTCCCCCCATGACCACCCACCGCAGGTGACAAATCTTGATATTCTAGATCCCGGCACTAAGTGACACAGCCAGTTGGCACCCTCGCATGCCCTGCTTCTGCCAGCGCTGCTCCTCCTCCCGCCACCGCCCAGAATTTTGGAAGTTTCTCTTCACCCTCCCCAACTATATAACAAAACCCATTAATCATTGCCATATGGGTAGTATTTGCAAACATCATTCTAAAACAAGAAAGCCAAAATATCAAAAGACAGCAAATCAAGTGCTTTGGCACCTATTTCATTCCAAACACCAGAGCAGCCCGAGAACCCTGGGAGTATTTGCGGGGAGCGGACCAAGTTCCAAATGACTGGCTCGTGAATAAACCCCGCTGTCCTAAGCACCCAGCAGAGAAAAGGGGGCCCTTCCTTGCAGCCTATGTCACTAATATTACTCTTCTAATTATTATTCATGAAAACCTAGGATCCCGCTGTAAATGTTATGTAATAAATTATATTTTTGGAAGAAGCAAAAAGAAACCTTAGTTTTATTGATTGGAAGTTGGCAAAATGAGAGCAGGAACACCTCCCAGGGAAAGCTTCCTCTCTGTGCAGGGGATTTTAACAGGTGTTAATATTTTCTTCCAGAAAACAGATTGTATTAAGGATTATATGAGCCTGATGATTGCAGACAGTTTGGGTTCATGAGGTAGTTTATATATTGAGGTAATGTTTTGTAAGTAATAAAATGTGAATGCTCTAACTTTCTGTTCTCAGGGTGTTCTGTGGGGAAAGGGCGGTGACTGTTGTCAGTGCTACACCTTGACCTTAAGACTGGTTGCCTGACAAACTAACACATGCTGGGGATCCTTGATTTCATGGTGTGCTGCGCTCGCCCCCCAACCCCACAAGCTTTGCATCAAGTACTCTAAATGGAAATTAAATTTTATTATTCATGTTAGAGGTCATTGTCTTAGTTTAAGTAACTATTATCTACAATAACAGGTAAGCCCCAGAATCTCAATGGCTTAACACAATTTAAGTTTATTTCTTGCTCATACTTCATGAAAAATTCAGCTGGTAGTAATGGGGCTAAGGTGGGCAGCGGTTCTGTTCCATGTGGTCCTTTAGGAATCCAGGCTAATTGGGTTCTCCACCACCTTCAGCACTTAACCTCTAAGACTGCTATGGGCATCACCCAAAATGCATACCCTAGGCCACTAGTAAATTTAAAAGGATTCGAGTCACACAAAGCTGTTCTCTGACCAAACGGAATTGAAATAGAAATCTAGATACCCGGGAAACCTCCAAATACTTGGAAATGAGTTACACATTTCTAAATAACCCATGGGTCAAAAAAAAATCAAAAGAAATGTTAGAAAGTATTTTGAACGAATTGAAAATTAAAATACAACATATCAAAAGTCGTAGGTGCTGATAAAGCAGTACTTTGAGAGAAGTTTATAGCACCAAACTTCACTGTTAGAAGAGACAAAGGGTCTCAAATCAGGTCAGTTTCTACCTTAAGAGGTTATAAAAAAAGCAAATTAAATCCAAAAGAAACAGAAGAAAGGAGATAGTAAATAACAGTAGAGAAATTGTTGAAATGAAAACCAGCGAAAATTGGTGACACCAAAAGCTGTTTGAGAAAAAAATCAATAAATTCCTTAATGTGACCTGAATCCTTCCAAATTTATTGAACAAAATAGAGTCCAGAAGTAGATCCAAACATATATGGTCAACTGATACGAGATAAATGTGTCAAAGTAATTCAGTGGATAAAGGATATATTATCAACAAATGGAGTTAGGAAAATTAAATCTCTATATGCAAAATAATGAACCCTTCTGCCACACTATCTACAAAAATCAACTTGAAACTATAAAGCTTCTGGAAGGAAACACAGGAGGAACTCTCTGTGACCCTGGCATAGGCAAAGATTTTTTAGACAGTATGTGAATTCTATTCTTTGAAAATCACTGTAAAGAAAATGAAAAGACAAAGCCACAGACTGGAAGAACATGTGAAACAGACATCTGATAAAAAGATTTGTATCCAAATATATAAAGAAATCATATAAATAATAAGAAGCAGGGTAATCCAATTCAAAAATGGGCAAATGATTTGAATACTTTATCAGAGAAGAGGATATAAATGGTATATAAGCACATGAAAAGAAGTTTAACATCATTAGTCATTAGGAAAATGGAAATTAAAACCACAATGAGATACATATGTAAAAACCACTACATACCTATTAGAATTGCAAACGTTATAAAAAGATAATATCAAATGCTAAGGAGGCTACAGAGCAACTAAAACTCTCAGTATTGCTAGGGGGAATGTAAAATGGTGCATGCACTTTGGAAAACAGTTCAACAGCTTAATAAAAACTTAAACATACACTTTGCATACAGCCTAGCCATCCCACTCCTAGGTATTTATTTACCCAAGTGAAATAAAACCTTATGTTGACACAAAAACCTGGACATAATTACAAAGAGATAAATTGGATTATATCAAAATTGAAAACATTTGTGCTACACGTGATAAGTGAAAAACAAAACACACAATGGGAGAATGTTTTTGCAAATCATATATCTAATTAGGGACTTGTATCCAGAATATATAAAGAACTCTTACAATTCAATAATTAAAAAGATAATTAACTTAATTTTAAAATGGGCAACAAATTTGAATGGACATTTCTCCAAAGAAGATATACAATTAGCTGCAAGGCACATGAGAATATGCTGAACATCATTAGTCATTAGAGAAATGCAAATCAAAATCACAAGATACCACTTCACACCAATGAGGACATCTGAGTTAAAATAGGCAAAAAGTGATGGTGAAAATATGGAGAAAATAGGACCCTCATACATTGCTGATGGGAAATGGATTAGTAGGGGGAATGAATAGCAGCATATCCTCTTGATGGAATTTATCCAACCACTGAAATTCATGCTTATGAAGAGTTTGACACAAGACAGAAACATGGTGGTGGAAATAACAGGATAAAGAGTGCACAGCCAGATCTCAACTATGGGTGAGGGAGATGCCTGCGGTGAGGCGATGTGCTGTAGAAGCGGAGTTGGAAGGTTTGGGCACTGCGAGGACTGAACAGTGAATGGGGGAAGAGAAGGGGAAGTGATGCTTGCTTTGTCTGCAGGTGACAGAGGCATTAATTCTTGGCCCCCGCCTTCCATCGGAGTGGCAGGTGGGGGAGCGCTCAACCCGCAGTATCCCAGACAGCCCCTGAAAGTCATCCCCTACTGGGCTGTGCTCAAGGCTCCCCGGAGACTCCAGGGCACTGAGGGGTGACAGGGATGGAGATTTAGTCCCTTCCATGACCTTTATCAGCTCTCCCACCTTCAGCCACTACAAATACACAATTTAAGAAAATGTTGCAAACACGAGTTAAAAACAAAGTCCCTAATGTACAGCTCTCCCGCCACTCCCTCCCCAGCCCCTCAAACACACACACAATGGACTAAGAATACTTTTGAAGAAATGCCAGTGTCGGCACTCTGGGGGCAACTGGGCCCTCCTGAATGCTGCGGCCTCCCCTGGAGGCCAGGGACGCCCGCATCAGTTGCCCCAGAAGACCTGGATTCTCTTCCTAATGGGGCCTCCTCAGCAAGTCACTTCTCTTCGGTCCTCAGTTTCCTCTTCTGTAGAATGAGGCTAAATGGGGACTATCCTAGTGCCTCAATGGGGAATCACTTTAACTAAGGCAAGGGGAAGGCCTAGTACAGTGCGGGACGCAGCAGTTGCCCCTGACGGCTGTGGGCAAGGCCCCCGGTCCCTTGAACCTCGGCGCTCTCCTCGACGGCAACAGGAAGGTGAGCACAGGACTGCAGGAGTCCGAGTCCCCCTCGCCAGGCAGCCGAGCCGGAGTCAACTACAACCCCGATGGAGACGAAGCCGGGCAGGGGTGGTCACGTGGGAAGTCACGTGGCCCCACCAGGAAGCGCGCCGGGGGCCGGGCTAGGACGGGCAGCGATCCGGTTTGTGGACCTTTGGGACTGTCGGGGCGCGGCCCTCGGCTGCCCCCTCGGCGGGCGGCAGAGCTTCCTCCCGTCCCCGGCCCGGCTCTCCCGGAAGTGCGGGAGCGGGCTCCACCCCCGCGGCCTCACCCGCCCCGCCTGTGTGGACAGATGCCCGTCGCTTCACTTCTTGGAACCAAAGTTTCTGCAGATACGGAGTGGGGCGGCTTCCGCGAGCCGGGCCTTCTTCCCTTGGTAGTTGTGAGGTCGGAGGGGATGTGGGGGTGAAACTGCTGCGGAAACTGGAGAGTGCGGGGCAAACGGGAAGGCTGCCAGGGGTAGGGAGCCCCGCGGCGGCAAGCTGCTCCTTGCACCCCGCCGATTGTCCCTTCTGAATCGGACAGCCCAGCGGGGGCCGGGCCGAGGTCTAAGCGAGCGGGCCCCAGGAGGAGCTGCCCGGAGGCAGGAGCGGCGGCCGGCCGCAGGGGTGGTTTGCTGGGCAGAATGGGGTAAAGGGGCACCGGCCCGCCCCACCACCGGTTTGGCCGGCCCCATCCTCCCATGGGTCCCGTGTTTCCGCCTGAGCGCAGGATAGAGAGAACGGGGAATAACACCGATGAGTTTCTCTTGTCAGCCTTTTGGAATAAGAAAAGTAGAACCTAATGTTCACTAGGAAGCATTTCCATTTTCCTCGGAATATGGCATTAAGGCGAGTCATGCCGGTGATGTAGCAAGTCTCAGTTACATTGCAGAAAAATGCAGAGCCCCTAAGAGCCCTTTCTTGCCTCTAATTTGCTTACAATTTCTGGTTTCCTAATTAAGCTAAAGCTTTATATTATTCCCGTCTTTTATCAAAATGTGAATGATCTGGAACCAGTTTTTGTGATTTGATGGAAGGGCACTTGGGAAATAAGAATCAGGACCCCGTCCTCGTCGTCGTCCACCCCCCCCTCCCGCCCCCGCCGCACACACCCCCTTTATGTAAGAAAGCATTTTGCTAAGGGCAGTCCTGCCTGGTTACTCCCTGACTCTATAACCTTACAGGGAGGTAGAGCAGAGGATTTTTCCTCCTTTTCCCAGCAGGAGTTTGAGGCCCAGAGAGGTTTATGTGCCTTGGCAAAGCCAAAACTGAACCAGGTGTCAGCTTCCTTTTTTATTGGTTTGTTGCCATTCACCGGGTCCTCCAGTGACACCCACTCTCTTCTGGGACTGCCTCCCTGTCCATCTGACTGCCAAGCTGTCCCCACAGTCAGTTATAGCACGTTCCCTGGGGCTGCTCAGGGTGGGTTTGCCAACCACACCAGGGTGCTGAGTGACCCACAGTGAAATGGGAACGCTCAGGAGGAAACAGTAGGTGGGAATTAATGTTTGCAGGCACTTGCTATATCCAAATGACTGTGTTGCTGGGTTCCTGTTCTAATTGTTTGAGAGCGGGGTTGGGAACAGTCAACTTTGTGCTCTCATGACCTCTCTGTTTTAAGCGTTTGCAGGGCCCAGGATGCTATGCTATTCTGCATGAGCTGGTCCCCAAGTCTGTCCACTGCAGCCTGTTCTGAACCTCTAGCGACCTGGAAGCTCTGCAGTGCTCCTTGCCAAGGTAGATGAGTCTCCCCTACCTGGGGCAGACCGAGGCGGGCAGCACCCGCTCCGGGGCTGTGGGAGGTGGACAGAGTGAGGCAGGCCGTGGACTGGGCTCTCCCCAGGCCTGCAGAGCCCTCTCCTCACCCCCTGCTCAGTTCTGTACCCTGATGTCATCTTTGCCTGCTCTGCCCTTCCTCCCTTGCATCCAGGTAGTCATCAAGGCCTGCAGTGTCTCTACGCTACACTTTTTCTCCTGGCCTCAACCAAGGAGCAGAGTGTGAGCCCTCATTATCCCACACGTGAATGATCTACCTCCCTAACCTGACCTCACCCATCTATGGCCACACCCTTCCCAGCCCACACGGGCTTCCTGCTGTTGACCACAGCCTCCATTCCATACCCACCATGCCCCAAGCCCACCCTCCCTTCCCATCAGGCTGGTCCCTCTAGTCCCCAGCTGTGCCGCTCTTGCGTGGGAGTCCCAGAGCCTCCTCCAGGTCCACCTGCGCTCATCCAGCAACCTCTTCACCCTTCACTACTCTCCCAGTCTCTGCCTGTGCATAGCAATGCTACAGGAATAGGCTCCATTCTCTTTTTGTCACTGTGCTGGAAACACCGTGAGGCCATGTGCACTGAGTTAGAGTTGATAAAGCAACGGGATATTTGGGGGGAATTCAGTAAGTACCGCTAAGCTGGTCTTGTGGGGGATCCTAAAGAGTGTAAATGAGTCCGAGACCTCGGAATGCTAGTGAGGATCAGACCTCCACTCCCTGGCCTCACCAAGCTGTGCCACATCGTGCCCTATAAAGTGGGAGGAAGTGAAAGTTCCTGTTTTATCAGGTGGTTGTGAGGGTGTGACAGAATAACACCAGGAGGCCTGGGGTGGTGCCCGGCACACGGTAGGGACTCGGGAGATGTTTGCTGGGATTGCTGGGATTGCGGTCCACGTCGTTACTCAGGCCAGGCTTAAGGATGTGGGGCTGGGAGGTGACCTTGACCTTGCTTCTCCCTGGCAGATGAAGTGTGTCTTGGTGGCCACGAAGGGCGCAGAGGTCCTCTTTTACTGGACAGACAAGGAGTTTGAAGAGAGTCTGCGGCTGAAGTTCAGGCAGTCAGAGAATGAGGGAGAAGAGGTGAGTGTGGGACAGGAGGTGGGCAGGAGGGGGCAGCACAGAACCACCAGAAGGCCAGGAGGCAAGAGAACCCGGCCACCCGCTCCTGCCCAGCCCATGGAATTAACAGGGCAGTGTGTGCGGTGCCGGGTCCCTCACCCCCACCCCGATCCTCAGCGCTGGCCTCTTGATGCTCTGGGATGCCGCGTGGGGCGCAGTGACCGCATGGTACACCCCAGGGGCCCGCTGGGCTACATGAGGGCAAGAAGAGGTATCGGGTTGGCCAAAAAGCCCGTTAAGTTTTTTCCGTAAAATAGAAGACACATTTTTCATTTTCACCAATAACTTTATTGATTTGGATATTTTGAGCATGTCGGCTGTCTCCCGCTATTGGCTTCTAGTGGGTGGAGACCAGGGGTGCTGCTAAACATCTTCCAGTGCATGAGACAGCCTCACAGCAAAGAGTTATTTGGCCGAATTGTCAATAGTGCCAAGAAACTTCGCAAACCACTTTTGACATGTTCGATCAGTCACAGTGCCTTCTCCATACACTGCACAAATCTTTTTTTGCATTTCAGTTGTGTTTTTACCTTTCTTGAAATAATAAAGCATAATATGCTGAAAATGTTCCATGTTTTCTTCCATCTTCAATATTAAAATGGCTACACAAAAATTTACCACTACTGGTAAATTTTATTTTAAATATATGCTGATATGACAGCTGTCACAATACAATCTAGCAAAATTGTTTTGAATGAAGTTAAAGACAACTAAGCACTGCTAGAGCCATCGTACAGAAAAAACTAGACGAATTTTTTGGCCAGCCTAATAGAATTTTAATCACACAGCAAAGAAACTTAATGTCACCCATTTCTTTACCTAAACAGTTTAGCATAAGCTTAACACATTACTTTTTATGACAGCCATATTAAGGTGTAATTGGCAGACTAAAACCTGAACATACTCAGAGTGTGCAGTCTGATACGCTTTAATATGTGCAAGTACCTGCGATCATCACAGTCAATAAGATGAACATCCCCACCATCCCCCGGATTTGTGGTCCTCCTTCACCTCCCCCCACAGCTCTGCTTTCTGTCACAATGGATGAGTCTATTGTTTAGACTTATATATGATGAAACCGTACAGCGGTCCTCTGGGTGGCTTTGGTTTTGGTTCGCTCTAGCTTCTTTCACGCAACCTGATGGGGAGGCATGCCTCTTGCACCACGTGGGTACCTCATTCCCCGGCATTGTGAGCGGTAGTCTGTTCTAACAGTACACCCCGATTTGTCCATCCACTTACCTGTTGATGGTAATAACATCAGTTGTTTCCAGCTTTTACTTACACGTAAAGCAGTTGTGAACGTTTGCATGCAGGCCTTTCTCTGTATGAACATTGGTTTTCGCTTTTCAGAGAAATCCCTAGGGTAACATGGCTGGATCATGTCAGTGTATGCTAAACTTTTTAAGAAACTGCCCAACTTTTCCAAAGAGGTTGTATCATTTTATATTCCACCAGTAGTACATGAGACTTCCATTTCCTCAGTAGCCTGACTAACACTTGCTATGGTCAAGCTTTATAAATTTAGTCACTCTGAGAGGTATCTAATAGAAAGTGACTTTTCTATTAATATAATTTGTTCACAACAGAATCCCATTGTATTTTAATTTTCATTTCCTTAATGACTAATGATTTTGAGCATCTTTTCATGTGCTTATTTGCCATTCTTATATCTTCTTTAATGAAGCGTCTATTCAAATCTTTTGCCAATTTATTGTTTCTTATTTTTATCAAGTTTCAAGAGTTTCTTATGTATTTTGGATATAAGTTCAAGGAGATACACTTTTTTTAAAAGTATTTTCTTCAAGCCTGTGTCTTAAATCTTTGCATCCACCTAACAGCGTCTTTCAAAGAGCAGAAGTTTATAATCTTGATCATTTCAATTTATCCTTTTTTCTTTGCTTTTATAGATTATGCTTTTGATGCCATTTCTAAGAAATCTTTGCCCAACCCGAGGTCACAGAGTTCTCCCTATATTTTCTTGAAATTTTATAGTTCTAGGTTTATATTAGATCAAATGATCCATTTTGAATTTTTTATATGGTGTCAGATATGAGTTAGAAAGTTAATTTTTTTTTTGCATGTGGACATCCAGTTGAACACTTTAATATAACAACTCAGAGATCATTGTCATTTTCACTCATATAATTTCCACTCTACATTTTAAAGGAGTCACGTATTTGAGAATTTTTTCCAGATTAATTTTGGATTAAAAAAAAAAATCAGTGGGGGATGCAGTCGAGAAGTCCTTGCATTTCTGCAGCAGCAGGGCCTGGTCGTCCCTCAGGCCCTGCCTGCGCCTGGGCCTGACCGGCGGCACCTCGACCTCAAGCGATTCTCCTCAAAGTGCTGATATTCCTGTTACAGCCTTTAGGAATAAAGCAAAATAGCCAAGGTCATGGGCATTTAACTGGTTGTAATGAAACTAAAAAAGAGGTCTATCTTTGGCTCTTACATTTTAGTAGTCAACACATCGAATTTTTAAGTTGTGAATGTTTAAGTGTTCTTTTAACTGGCCCTTTGATGCTGTTTCTCTTCCTCTTTAATGATAACCTGGCAAGGGAACAAACTGATGAACTCCTGATTTTTCAGTTTCTACATGACTAGTATAAAAAAGGGTCTTTAAACCTTTTGACCAGCAGAGACTGGTCTTTAAAGTTTTGTTTGTTTAATGTGTATAACACACTTTTTCCTCATTCTGTAGATAATGTGAATTAACTATAGAAAATTTGGAAGCAGAGAAAAATCGTTTTTAAATGACCCATAATTTTACTACCCATAGCTATTAGCTTTCTAACATATGTACTTTGGGTCTTTCATTTTTTAGATGGTTGGGATCATTCCGTTTTGAAAGTTTTGTTTCCTGTTTTTTTTCACTTGCCATTATATCTGAAGTGTTGTTCTGTTTTGTTATTCTTAGAAGCATAAATGTTGCCCTGCCTGGTGTGGCTCAGTGGATTGAGTGTGGGCCTGTGAACCAAAAGGGTTGCCAGTTCGATTCCCAGTCAGGGCATATGCCTGGGTTATGGGCCAGGTTCCCAGAAGGGGGCAAACAAGAGGGAGTCACACATTGATGTTTCTTTCCCTCTCTTTCTCCGTCCCTTCCCCATCTCTTAAAAATAAATAAATATTTTTTAAAAATTAAAAAAATTTTTAAGCATATATGTTAATGGAAACATATTCCAATGTCTTTAACCATTTCCTCAATATTGGACATGTATAGCACTTCTAGTTTTCTGTAACTGTTGCTGTAGGAAACATTTGTGCTTGAAGTTTACGTAACATCTCACTTCTTCTTAGGATAAATTCCTAAAAATAGAAACATCAATTCAAAAGCCATTCAAAGATACTGTACCATTTTATAATTCCACCAGCTAGTATACAAGACTGTCCCTTTACACTCTGCCTGCACCAGATATTTTCATCTCCTCTCACCAAAAAACATCCCTGCTATACCTGCCAAAAAAGTCACTCCTTTTAAGGTGAGTTGCTGTACACAATCTAGATTTTTAAGTGACTTTTCTATTAGTATAATTCATTCATGACAGCTCCAGAAAATAGTTATATGTGAATAATGCAACAAGCATTTGCCTTTCTGGAGGGATATTCAATCAACAAGTATTAATTGAGGACCCACTCTGTGCCGGTCTCTGAGGGTGAAGCAGGGACTATGACGCTACTCCCATGGGATTAGAGGCTAAGGAGGGATGACATGCAATGAACCAAATAGACACCATGAAGTCAGGGAATGGTAACCCAGGTAGGGGACAAGGGGTGACTGGGGCAGGGTGGCCTGAGGGCGGTCAGGGAGGGGCCCTCTGAGCTGGGACCTGAGTGATGAGGAGCAACCAGTGTTGAAGGTTCACTGACGCTTTGGCAGCAGCCGGACACAGGCCGCAGTCCCTGAACGCTGAGAACGTTGGGGGAAAAGAAGCCGCACGGTGCTGCGTTCTGCTCGCGTTTTAAATGCTGCTCATGGCTGCTGGCTGGCTGCCTGTCTTGCTTTTCAAGGCAAGGTCTTACTGAGCTCCTTGTATTGAGATAGATTTCACCAGCCCAGCGTTTGGACTCTGCTTTCTGTCTATTTCAGTCCAGTCTCCCGAAATCAGCTTGGAGGAGGTCTGCTGTTCTTCTTTTCATTCCAGTACTGTGAATTTGAGCTCTGACCTTTCCACTGGCTTTATCCCATTTTATTCGCAGATTTTCAACTTATTTGTCCAGTCTCTTTTTGGTTTTATTTTTTGTGTTCCTTATTTTGGAGAGCAGAGAGGATGGATGGGGGAAGAGCTTGTAAAAGTAAAAGTATGCTTATGGAAATAGGGAAAGTACAGAAATATATAAAAAGTAGGAGGGAAGATCACTCACAATCAGTCTATCCAGAAGTAATACGTTTAACCATGTTGACTCAATATTTTTCAGTGCTTTTTATGCAGTTTAATATACAGAGCATTCACACCATTTTTCAAAAACATAACATTGTATCACAGGAATGTTCCATGTCACTGAAACACTCTATTCTTGCATCACGGACTGTTATATATTTAACTATTCCCCTGGTACTAGACATCCACATTTTTTCCAGTGGCTTGCTACTATAAATGATGCTGTAGTGCAGCGGTCCCCCACGTTTTTGGCACCAGGGACCAGCTTGGTGGAAGACAATTTTTCTGTGGGGGAACTGTTGGTGGGGGGAGAGCTGTACAAGAGGTGGAGCCCAGGCAGTAATGTGAGCAACGCGTCGCTCACTCGCCCACTGCTCACCTCCTGCTGTGCAGCCTGGTTCCTAACAGGCCACAGACCGGTAGTGGCCTGCGCCCCGGGGTTGGGGACCCCTGCCTTAGTGAACATCTTTGTACATGTGTCTTCGCCTCTGTCTGATCATCTTCCTTGGGATGCGTTTCCCCCACAGTAGACCTTCTGCTGCAAAGAGCTTGGACTTTGTCACACGCAATGAATGTTCTTAGAGTTGGCCAGCTCTCCACTAAATGCCCCGAGCATTCCTCTGTGGAAATGTGGCCTCGTTCCTTATTGTTCCCTTCTACCTTCAGGGCCTAAACAGCACAATTAGTTGGCCACCCCTTTCCGGCCTTCCTAACTGCCACCCAGCGTTTGGAGGCAACATCATTCTGTGTCCCTCTGTCAAAACAGTGATATCCTCCCAGCAGATCTTAAACTAGGGAGACCCTTGGCAGCAAGGCCTGGATCTTGTCCATTTCTTTGTCCTCAGTGTCTGGCATGCTCAAACAGTGTTGTTTTCTGCCCCTCTTGCAGCTGCCTGCCCTGGAGGACCAGCTCAGCACCCTCCTGGCCCCGGTCATCATCTCCTCCATGACGATGCTGGAGAAGCTCTCAGACACGTACACCTGCTTCTCAACAGAAAATGGCGACTATCTCTACGTCCTTCACCTGGTGAGTGCGTGGCTCTGGGGCCCGTGTTCCTCCACCCACGAGTCCTTGGGCAGTCCACTTGCCTCTCCCTTATCCGGGACCTCAGACTCCTTTAGGAGGCAGAAGTTGAGGCTTGTGGCAATCCCCTGGGACATGGTCCTCCTCTCACTGTCCCAGGGATCAGGGCAGGTGAGGGGAGACCCCGGGGCCGGCTGAGAATCAGCCTGCTGTGCCTACAGTTCGGGGAATGCCTGTTCGTCGCCATCAACGGAGACCACAGTGAGGGCGAGGGGGACCTGCGGCAGAAGCTGCGTGTGCTCAAGTACCTGTTCGAGTTGCACTTCGGGCTGGTCACTGTGGACTGCCAGCTCATCCGAAAGGAGTGAGTCTTCATGGCTGGTCCCCTCCGGATCCTTTGCTAAGCAGCTTCTTGAGGCCAGGCAGTGTGTACTCAGCCTCTGGGCAGCTGCCCACCCATTTTCTGCCCCTGCTTCTCCCCTGGCACCTTCCTGGGCCTCTAGCTGGCTTTGTGTCACATATCTGTGTGTGAGAGAGACTGAGAAGTGCAGCGATTTTCTCAGGCGCCTGGCTCCCTTTCCCTGCCCTTCCTACTCCACAACTAGGCTCAGCCCGAACACGGCCCGCTCTGTGCTTCGTGGGCTCCCAGTTATTGGGTCAGGTCACATGAGCTCTTCCAGCCTCAGCAGGGATATAGGACTGTGCTCTTTTGGTTGAAGTTGGGGGCAACCAGCTTGCTCATGGCTCTGTCCTGTTCTTCCCCGAGGCTGCGGCCCCCAGACGTGCTGCAGCGCATCCAGGCGTGGGAGCGCTTCCAGGGCCTGCTGTGTACCTACGGCCGCCTGCGGGAGCGGGAGCAGTGTTTCGCTGTGGAGGTGACTGCCGGGTGCAAGAGCCCTCGGGTCGTGGGGGTGTCCGCTCAGAAGGGCCGTGCAGCTTTCAGACCGTGCTTTGAACCCTCTGGTGAATGAGGGCACAGGAAGCCCCCCAAACTCATGCATTTAGAGGTGCTCTTCTGGCCACATAATTTTCTGACCATGGGGTTGGCATCTGATGGACCTGTCTACAACAAAACAGCTAGCTCCTGCATAAGAAAGACTTTTTATTGCAGCTTTGGGGCTCATAGTAAATTATAAGAATCTCTGCAGATAGCCCCTCTCAACTCTGACCCCCCCCCAAAAAATTACATTGAGCTGAAGGTAGAGTGGAAAGTAGTGAAAAATAAGCAGCACCAAAAACAAGGTGGTCAAGTGCAAAAAATGATACCAACTCTACAACCAGAATCCTGAGCCCAGGCCTGAGGTGCTAACGTGACCACTGTACTCCCTGACCCCTGTACAGAGAGACAAAAATTCTTTCTGCATCAGGAGTTTGCACACCCCACTGTGCATCCAAATCACCTGGAGGCTTATTAGATACAGGTGTCTGGGCCTCACTTTTCTCATTCAGTGGGGGTGGGATACTCTAGAATTTGCATTTCTAACAGGTTCCCAGGTGATGCTGATTATGCTGGTCCAGGAACTACACTTTCAAAGCCACTGCTTTACTGCTGTAGATGACAGATTAAGAGGAAACAATGTGAGCTCACAATTAACTGTCAGATTCATAAGAAAATAAGTCCCCATGAATGGGAGTCAAGGGAGTCAATAACCATTTGGGTTAGAACCCAAGGAGTTTGATATACTGGAATTATTAGGTACTTAAAATAAAGTAACTATGAAATATTTAAAAACATAAGAGCTAAAAAGGAACCATGTAGATATTTTAGAAATGAAAATATAGTTGTTAAAATGAAAACCTCATGAGATGGGTTAAATAATAGGTGAGACATAGCTAGAAAGAAGATTAGTGAATGGGAAAATAGATCTGAAGGAACTAATTTTCGTAGCCCACTCATTCACTCAAACAATAAACATATAGTGCCTACTCTATGCTAAGAGGTGTGCCAGGCCCTGGGAGCACAGAGAGAAAGAAAGACACAATCCCTGCCTGCCCTTGAGGGGAAATCAGCCATACATATATGCTAAAATATACAACAAAGTAGCTGGGGTGTTGTCGCTTTGGATTTCTCATCAAAATCCATGGCAGTACAAAGGGTGTTGTGGCCACCTCTTTCTGAGACATTAGGAAGGGCTCTTTGTAGGTGATATAATGCAATTAAAATAAAATTTAACTTCTTCCCAGGCCTACCAGGCCCTGTATGGTCTGCCACCACCTGTCTTGCCCCAGCCTCATCTCATGCCTCTCTTGTCCTCACTCTCTGTGCACTGGCCGCCTGGGACGTCTTTCCATTTCAGGTGGACTCTGTGTTTTATTCTGTCCAGCATGGTAGCCATTAGCTACACAGCACTATTGAACATTTGAAATGTAGTTTAAATTGACTTATGCTGTAAAGTATACCCTGGATTCTGAAGACTTAGTACAAAAAAAAAGAATGTCAAGCATTTCATTAATCATTTTATATTCTATGTCAAAACTATTTTAGATATATTGGGTAAAACAAATTATTAAAATTAATTTTACCTTTCTTTTTAATGTAGTTACCAGAAAATTGTTAATTGTGCTTAGGGCTTGCCTTACGTATTAGTGGGACAACACTGCCTGACACTCACGCCGCCTCTGGGCCTTTGCGTGTGCTCTTTCCTCTGTTTGCAGCACCCTCTCCACCCCCTTTCTCTGACAGGATTTCTTGTTCTTAAACTGGTTTCTTTCAATTTAAAGGTCCCCTCCTCAAGTGACCTTTCTTCGTATACCTGACCCATGTAGGTCTCCCTACTTTCTCTAGTCCAGCACTGTACGTTTCTTACATGGCACTTAGTTTGTCTGTTTCCTTGCACGTTGTCTGAATCACCCACTAGATTCCAGTGAGCAGACTGAAAGCCCCAGGAAGGCAGGGACGGTGCTGGCCTGAGTCTCCCTGTTCCCTCGTGCCTGGCACCTAGTCTGTGCTCAGTGTGGACTGAGTGAATGTCCCCACGAGCCAGGGCCTGGAGCTGGGGAGGGTGGCGGATGACATGGCTTCCTCGCCCTGCCCACGTGTGGCCAGGCTGTGGAGCGGCTGGTTCACCCTCAGCTCTGCAAGCTGTGCATAGAGGCGCTGGAGCGGCACGTCATCCAGGCTGTGAACTCCAGCCCCGCCCGGGCCGGCGAGGAGGCTCTACACGCCTTCCTGCTCGTGCACTCCAAGCTGCTGGCCTTCTACTCCAGGTGAGCCCACGGGCCCTGGCCCCTTGCCCGCACCCAGCTGAGGAGCTCCACTTCCCCGGCTGAGAAAACCTGCAAGACCCACTTCTTCCGTGGAGCCTTCTCAGAGTCTTTGTTCTTCAGCCCCTCTCAGCTCACGCCCCTCTCTGAATTATTTCTCCCTGCAATACTCTCAGCGTCCTGATAGGCTACCCTGGTCCCTGGTGGTTTCCCATTGGTAATCTTTTTTTCTTTTTAACACTACCAAGTTTTAGTTTAAAATTGATGAGTTAGTTTTATATCTATCTTCCCTTCCTCCAAAAAGGATGAAATCAGCTGGCACATTCGTAAACTCCTTGAGGACAGGGACCATGCTCCAGATTTCCTTAACCGACTGTCCCCGCCCACTGCCACCCAGGGCACCGGGCACGTGCCGACCAGCTGCCCATTCTCTCTGCAGCCACAGTGCCAGCTCCCTGCGCCCAGCCGACCTCCTCGCCCTCATCCTCCTGGTTCAGGACCTATACCCCAGCGAGAGCACAGCAGAGGACGACAGCGACAATGACAACGACACTCAGGTCTCTGCAACTCTTGGGGCCGCAGGAGGCCATCTGGGAGACGGCCCAGAAAACAGCCCAGAGGGTGCCGGCCAGGCAGCTGGGGAGGCCGTCCTTCCGGGGTCACAGGGCACACGGCTGGGTGGGACGCTTTTCCTGCTGCTTTCAGATAGGGGAGAATTCTAGAATGCATGTGGTTAAAAGTACAGATTTTTGGAGGCAGATAGTCTCTGCTTTGCCAGTTAGCTATGTGAACTGTGCAAGTCCTTGCCCCTTCTGAGCCTCAATTGCCTGATATGTGCAGTGGGACAGCGATGGCAGCCACCGCTCAGGGTTTTGAGGAATAAGGGAAACAGTTGCCTGGAGCCCAGCAACGCCTGGGGCGTACGGAACCCTCAGGAAGTGCTGGCCGCCAGCGTAGCCAACCTCATTGTCTTCAGTGGTGGTTTGGTATCAGCGTGATGGAATGTCAGTGGTTCTGAAGAAAGACTAGACCACCTAGAATTGAAACATCCTGGAGAGTGAGGGCACACGCCAGGGCTTCATGTGGGTGCCTCTGCTTGGAGGGCTGTGCTGGGAAGTGCGGGGAGGTGGAGGGCTGGTGGCAGAGCCGCTCACGCGCCTCTGACGGTCTCCCGTGCCTGCCGCAGCCTTCCCTACGGAGGTGGAGGCGGCAGAGCAGCCAGAACATCCCCTTGCAGCAGGCCCGGAGCCCTCGGTCCTCGGCCCCAGCCCGGAGCTCTGCAGGGACTGTAAGTGCTGTGTGCCTGCAGGGAGGGGAGGGGACAAGACAGGATGGGAGGGCCGGGGAGGTCTTGCCCCTGCTAGGCCAGCAGGGCCAGGGTTGAGCCCTCACCGCGTGCGGCCCCCTTCTCCCCACAGGAGACTGACCGCTTCTCCCTCCCTGAGGAGTACTTCACCCCAGCTCCTTCCCCAGGGGAGCAGAGTTCAGGTTCAGGTGAGACCTGGGGTCAGGGGGGTGGTCGGGGGGAAGGAGGCAGATGCCAAGTGGCAGCCCTAGGGAGTCCGTCTTAGGGTTCAGGGGGCCCCTGCGTGTAAGGGCACAGTGCAGGGTCTGCAGCCAGTGCTACCTGCCCTGCCAGCTCCAGCCTGGATTCAAGGATGTGAAGGCCACCCAAGCGGTCACTCAAATGGTCACTAAAAGTTTTTATGACAAGGTGATTCCATTTAAAAATCCACCTCTCACATGTGTGTTTACTGCTTTCTCTTTCTTTTTTCATAATTAAGTAATCAGGTAGTTAAAATTAGTAGTAATCATTTGATTTCAAGTACAGTGAATTAAAGTATAACTATTCGGTCTCTATAGTTTATACCTTACCTGTTTTTTCAAAAAATGTGGGTAAACAGCAAAAATAATCTAAAAGTATTCTAAATGCTATTAACAAAACAAAAAAGGCAGCATTGCTTAGAGAAATAGATAAGCCAAAATCTAGACTATTGTCATTGTGGCTCGGAATCACGTGTTTTCTCTGAAGTTCTTGGGGAAAAGGGAACGCTGACATCTTCTGATGGGAGGAAAAAGGCCAGGGTTTCATGAGGGAAACTCCTCAGTGACTCGGCTCTGAAAGGAATATGCTGTGTGATTTCCTTAGACCCTGGTTCTTGACCCTGGCTGGGCAGTGGAATGGCCTAGGCAGCTTCAGCCAGACTACTTAAGCTGTAGTCCCAGGGCTGGAGTCCAGATGTGAGTACTTCCAGAAATTTCCCCGCGAGGCCCGTGAGCCGCCCGGCGAGAACCTCTGGTATGCACAGATTTAGGTTAGAGCAGTGGTTCTCGCCCATGACTGCACAGTGGGCTCACTGGGGGTCTTCAGAAACTGCTGAAGCTGGGCCTGTGCCAGAGACGCTGACGTAATTGGCCTGGCGTGTGGCCTAGGCATCAGGACTCTTTTTTTTTCTTTTTTTTTTCTTTTTTTTTTTTTTTGGAGAAAGATAAGGGGGGTAGTGAGCATCCATTTGTTGGTCCACTTATTTATGCATTCATTGGTTGATTGTTGCATGTGCCCTGGCTGGGGATCGAACCTACAACCTTGGGACCGCACTCTAACCAACTGAGCAACCTGGCCAGGGCCTCAGCATCAGGATTTTTAAAAGGTCTCGTGTGCAGCCACAGTTGAAAACCACTGTGTTAGAAGTTCTTAATGTTAGGCCCTTGGACAGAGGGCAGGAGCCTGGTGCCCTGAGGCCGTGTGGCAGCTCATTCACGCATGTATGTTCTCTGAGGCCAGGACCCATCGCTGTTCTCTGAGCTTCCACATGAGCCGGGACACAGTGAGAAGCACCGCCTGGGGTGGTCGCTTCTTTCTGCCCCCTCCCCTCATTCACCGCAGTCCTCCCCCGTGCACCTTTCTCTCAGTGGTTAGTTTTTTATGTCTCAGAGCTGTAAACAGTGCCATTCCACAGTGCACAGAACTCACAGCTTATAAATAAATGGCCTGAGTTGCACTCATCCATTTGTAAATCGGGTGTTTGAGATGTAGGAACAGACTTTCCCCAGAGAAACATGGTTATAAATGATAGTTATTTGCAATAAACTATGAGGGAACACTATTATTACAAACATATAACATTTGCAACATGTAATGGGCTCAGGAGGTTTTTGTGAGCTATGCTAGGAGGGGAAATCTAGCTCAATTCCCAGCACATAGTAGGTGCTCAGTAAAAGTGTGTTGATTGACTGGGGAAACGCTGCCTCCTGTGGAAGAGACTCTGTTACAGCCCGGCCCGGGCCTAAAGGGGTGGAAAGGGCCTAAGCAAGGAAAGGCTTAAGGGGGCGAGGAGGGGGCTGAGGTACATGCCCCCACATTGCCAGGCGCACCCTCAGGTGCATGCTGCCAGCACCAGCTCTGGGGGGAGCTTCTCTTCCCAGCCCAGCTGCTCTAGCGCTGGTGTCGCAGGGCTTGCCTGTGCCTGCAGCCTGGCCCCGGGGGAGGCGGGGGGAAGGGCAGCGCTGCTCAGCCTGTGCTGGGTGCCCAGTGCTGGGTGCCCGGTCCCGACAGCAGATGGGGCGGGGCCGTCCCTGTTCCACCCTCCCCCTCTAACACACTCTCGGGCTCTTATTTCTATTTTCCAATTATTTGTGTTATTTTATCACCTGTGGCCTGTAGGTAGCACCGTCTGGCTGGACGGGGGAACCCCACCCACAGATGCTTCCGAGATCCAGGTGAGCCCCCGTCGGGGGAGGGGTGTGCCAGGCACTAGCTCACCTGAGCTGCCGCAGTGAGTGCTGGGGACTCTGAGGCTTCTCTGAGTAACTTCCTCCACCTCAGGGCCAGCAGTGCAGGGGACAGCTCGGCCCAGAGGCAGGGGCCGGGGTGGGGGGTGAGAGGAGACCCCAGCGCCAGAGAAACCCCTCCTCTCCTCACTGGTCTTGGGAATGAGAGTCTAACTTAATTTTTAATGTATTTTTTAAAAATGAAAATGTAAATATAGTCATTGTAGAAAAATTGGGAAATATGAAAGTATGGAAAAGGAATACAAATCTCTACACACACGTACTACATGTATATTTTTTCTTTTATCAAATTTGAACCCTAGTGTACATCACGATGCTTTTTCCTTAAGCATTTTCTCATTCATTAGGCCTCCTCAGCAGCGTGGTTAATGGCTGTTCAAGAGGCCATTCTATGTGTGTTATTATTTATTTGGCAAATCCCCAGAACAACTGGTATATTGTATCCAGCGTTTTGCTTTTATCATAAGGCTGCAACGACCACCTCACAGAGAAGTCTTGGTGGCATCTCTAATGAGTCCCTTCATTCTCTACTTTTGCCCTCTGAAGGCTGGCTTACTCAGAGCCTTCTGCAAGACTGGGGACTTGCTCCTTTAGTCACTTTATGCCTCCGTTTCCCCCTTAGAATGGCCGTCATGATGTTCTGAGGGTGGTTGAAGTGATAGAGTATTGCTTTAAATGCCTTCATTTATGTTGAAGACGTGGAGGGAGAACTGCTCGCCCTTGTTCCACCCGTCTGTTTCTCCTGCCTTTTTCGTTTCCTCTCTACCACCCGCCACCCCGACTTGGCATCCCGTCCTGACTCTGGGTGGAAAAGCCCAGGAGCTGAGAGAGGCAGACATTAGAACTGGAGCTGCTATAGCAGTGTCCGCAGAGTGTGGGAGCGAAGCGCTGGGATTTCTTGGAGCTAAAATGTTTGCTCCCGTGGTTCACAGTGAGGGCGGGGGATGACAGCCGTGGGTGGATCCGGTGTGGGGAGGGGGTCAGACGGGTCCCCCGCCTCCTCCCTTGATGGCGCCTCTCCCTCCGCAGATAGCCGAAGACACCCTGCAAACGCTGATCCCTGACTCCCCAGCACCTTCCTGCCCCAGAAGGATTTTCCTGGATGCCAGTGTGAAAGACAGCTACTGCCCCATGGTGCCCCACACCATGTACTGCCTGCCCCTGTGGCCGGGCATCAGCATGGTGCTCCTGACCAAGGTATGAGCCCCGCCTGCCCCGGCGACGCGGCGGCCTGCACGCCTCGCTACGGCTGCCTGACCCCTGCCCTCTGCTTCTTCCCTTAGAGCCCCAGCGCACCCCTGGCCCTGGTCGTGTACCAGCTGCTGGACGGGCTTTCCCTGCTGGAGAAGAAGCTGAAGGAGGGACAGGAGGGGCGGAGCTCGCTGCGGTCCCTCCCGCTCCTGGGGGACCTGCGCCAGAGGATGGACAAGTTTGTCAAGAATTACAAGGGGCAAGAGATTCAGGTGAGGCCCAGTCCTCACTGTGCCCACCTCTGGGGGAGGAGGCGGCCCGTTCAGTCCACACCAGCGAGTGCCAGCAGCTGCAGGCGCCACCTCTGCCCACCACAGCTTTGTTTCTCCGTTAAGAAATTGTGGCAAAAACTTAAAATGGCACTTGACATTTTCAGAACATCTTTTTGCAAGTTTGGCAGAACACAAGTTGTAATTCCCTTTTTTTTACAAGGGGAAACTGGGACTTAGAATGCGACTTGTCCAGGATTACTCAGGGGAGCCAAAGCCTGACTCCAGGACTCAGTAAAAGCCTGGGTCTGCCCCTGACGCAGTCACAGCGTGGCAGGTCTCACAGAGAAGCCACTCCCACTCCCACCCCCGGAGGGCTTAGAGCCCTGGTGGGGAGATGAGGCAAACAGACAAGGACAGTGTCCGAGGGCAGCGCGTGAGCAGTAGGAAGCAGGGCACAGCGGAGCCGGGAGCCTAGAAGGAATGCCGGGTAGAGTGCTCGGGATGAGAGCTGGCGGAGCCTGGGTCCGCGTGAGGAGCCCAGCAAGAGTCGCTGTGGCCGCAGCGCCGCCGGTCTGAAACGAGCAGGAGTACTAGGGGAGGCAGGGCAAGCCAGTGGAGGCCAGACCCTGGGAGACCTGGGGTCCCAGCGCTCAGAGCAGCCGAGGGCCATGTTTCAGGGCTTCGCAGGGGCGGCTGTCAGAATGCCAAGTTCCCCCCTAAGCAGGCGGCCAGGGCTCCTTCCCAGCGCCCGCCCTGTGTCCACCCTCCCTCGAGTCACTGACAGCATTTGTTCACAGGGCTGTGCCATCCAGGCCGTGAGCCCAGCACTTAGCACACAGACACTGCTTTTTAAATAGACACCTGCCAAGAGAGTAGAGCGTGGTGGACAGTGGGTGCAGGGCTCTGGGGGCCTGGCTGAGATCTTCACTCTGGCTGTGCAAGGACACACGGGTGCTGGGCCTGCATATGCCCTCAGGAGGCTGACATCCGAGGGTCTCCCCTGGACCTCACTGTGGCTACACTGCCAGAAACTGGCCTGTCCCCTGTCCTGCAGAGCACCTGGCAGGAGTTCAAGACCAAGGCCTTCTCCAAAAGTGAACCCGGATCGTCCTGGGAGTGAGTGGTGGGCCCACTGTGGCGAGGGTGCGGGGGTAGGGAAGCTGCCTCCAGCCCAAGAGGGAGAGCATGTTCAGGAAGGCGCTTCTGAGGGGAGAGGGGTCCTGGGAGAGTGGGGTCCAGCCCAAGGACGCTGGAGGGAGGTCGGGAAGCAGAGGGGCCAGAGGCCGAGGAGCTGGGCTGTGAGTACCCAACACTGGGGACAGCCCAGCTCCAGCACTGGTTCAGTGCAACCTCGAACACGTCACTTCCCCCCATTTATTGGTAAAAATAAACCATGGAGTTGGACAGGATCCCATGAACCTCATCCAAGTGCATGGAGCACCACGCGGGGGGGGGACTGGGGAGCTGCCTCCAGGTCACGAGGGTGAGGTGCACTTCGTCAGCTGTGTCCGTCATCAGTGCAAGGGCAAGGGTGACCCCTCAGGGGACGAGGCTTTCTCCAAGGGCCCTTCCCACTCTGACACTCTTCTCCCGGTGCCCAGGCTGGTCCAGGCGTGTGGGAAGCTAAAGCGGCAGCTTTGCGCCATCTACCGTCTGAGCTTCCTGGCCACAGCTCCGGGCCGGGGCGGCCCCCAGCTGCCCCAGCACCTGCAGGACCAGGTCCAGGCGCTCATGCAGTGAGTGTGGGGGCGACCCCCAAGGGCCAGGGCGGGTGGGGCTTGCCTCTCCATGCCCCTGCTTCCCTGGCAGAGAGAAGCTGATGGACTGGAAGGACTTTTTGCTGGTGAAGAGCAGGAGGAACGTCACCATGGTGTCATATCCTGCTGTCTGAGCCCCAAGCCGGCCCAGAAAAGGCCCTCGTGCCCGCCTGCCCCTCCACTGGCCCCCTCGGAAGGACTGTGGCTGGGATGGGAGAATATATACCCCATCGCCTCGGCTCCTTTTCCCTGAGCAGCAATGATAAGAAACAGTGTCCTCAGTGCCTGTCTGCTGGAGCGCTCCAGGGATGGAGCCAGGTTCCCTGGGTCCCAAAGCTGCTTTGTAAAAGCCTCAGAATTCATTCATGTTGGCGTTGCCCAGCCAGAAAATCGCTGATGGGCACTGCAGAGGGGGCGGAAGTTCTGGGGACGGGTTGGTCCGACAGCTGTGTCCTCCAGCTTACAGGTCACAGTTCACAGCAGAACGTGAAGGCTCGGGAAAGGCCTGCACAGAATATCTTTATCCCTGTTTAAGAAACCATGCCCCGGACTTACAAGACCCTTTCACTGTGGAACAGGAGTTTTATTGAACACTGATTTTCCCTGGAGTGTTACATAAAGCAACTTTGCCTATGTTAAGGTCTCTGAAGGGTCTGGTCTCCAGTCCCTTGAAACCTCTGTCTCCAGGGTGCAGGTGAAAGGGGTGGCAGAGCCACCAGCCACTGCGCTCCACGGGCGTCTGTTCCCAGCCTCCCAACCTCTCGAGGTGAAGTGTAGTGGTGAACAAAGTCAGTGAGGAGTGAGCATTGGGCAGCCTGCTCGGCGCACTCATCACCTACATGGCTCTCCTCTCCACCAGCCTCGCCATGTGGGGGTGGGGGGGAGAATTTAAATGCATCCGTCATGAATGTCGTAAAACCGGGACCCTTGTTCCTGTTGCATCCAGAACTCCGTGTGTTAAATGTGCTAATGTCAGGGATCCATTGTACTTGCATCTTAGAAATTCTCAGGTGAGGGGTTCAGAAGTAGAGGGAGATCTGGGAGGGGGGACCCGAAGTGTTGGCTGAAACGCTAACCTGCGGGAGCGGCGGGCGCAGCAGGCGCAGCCTCTGGCCCCACTGCTTAGCCTTGCCGGAGCCTAGGTCAGGGACAGAGAAGCGCCCTCCTCGTTTCTGGTCAACGAGCGCCTTAACTCAGACCTTAACCTACCTGGAAGACTTCCCAGGCTTGGTGCACTTCATCTACGTGGACCGCACGACCGGCCAGATGGTGGCCCCTTCCCTCAGCAGCAGTGAAAGGACCTCATCGGAGCTGGGCAGGGGGCCCCTGGCTGCCTTCATCAGAACCAAGGTAACCACCGCCGGCCCGGACGCTGCACTGCCCCTCAGACGGGATGCTGGCCCGGCCCCTGCCCAGCTCTGCAGGCTCCGAAGGATAGTGGCCTGTCTCTGTCGCCCTCGGGCCCAGGTCGGCACCAGGGCCACGTGGGCCTCGGTCAGTGCCAGGGTGTTTGCTGATGTCCTGGATTAGCAGAGACTGGGCAGCCAGGTCAGAGGGAGAAATGGCCAGAGCCCGCCATAGTGCTGGCATCAATAAATGCCCCATAAGTGTTTGCTGAATTAAAAAAGAAAGAAGAAACAAAGCTTAATTTGACTATCAGGACTTCAAACTAGGTCATTTCTACTAAGGAAACATTCCCTGAGGATTCTCTTTTCCTCTTTGACTGACTCTTCTTCCTGGCAAACTAGTATTTTTGATGACGAGGAGGGCGGACCCTCCTCCACTTTTATGTGTGTGTACGTGTACACACACACACTCACTCTCTCCCCCCACCCCCTTTTTGTGTATCCTAATGGTTAAAAGCAGATGGGTGACAAGGTGTGCGCTGGAAATCCTGCCCTGGCTCTCAGTAGCCACAAGGCTGGGGTGTTACTTAGTGCAAATTCAGCTTCCTCATGTGTGAAAGAGGATGGCGGCACTAGCGACAGCGCAGCGCTCTTGTGGGGAGCGCACACACGGAGCGGTGCGCGCATGGCATTCAGCACCATCTGTGGCACAGCCTAGAGACAGAACTTCCTGAGTATTTACTCGTACCCTCCTCCCCCTCCCCCTCCTCCCCGCTCCTCCTCTCCGTCCTCCAGCTCTGTCCCTCTTTGCAGAGACAGCTGCCTTCTCCTGGTGCACTTCTCCCGTTATTTTTCTGTGCAGGTCGCTGTGGTTGAGCTCTTTCTGCCTGCAGTTGTGTTTACCACATTTTCACTTTACTTTCTACCGGGTGCATTTCCTCACGTCATTAATTCTTTATAAACATGATCTTTAACAGCTCCACAACAGTCCATCATGCGAATGCAACATAATTTACTTAGCCATTTCCCCGATGTTGAACATGAAGATTACTTCCAGGCTTTTGCTATTATAAATAATTCCACAGCACACACCTGTGTGCATCTGTCTTTGTCCTCATCTCTGATGATTTTTCTCACTGTGCGTTCCCAGAAATGGAATTACTAAGTCAAATGGGAGGAATGTTTTTAAGGTTATTGATACATGTTGTCAGATTGCTTTCCTGAAAACATAGCAAATCCATGTATTTGTTTGCAGATGTAATTAGACATTACATCGTGGGCAGGTTTGAGTCAATCGTGCGTGCCTTCCACTCAGCTCCTTGGTGAGAAGGCTCCTCAGGCCTTTCCCAGCCCTGGGAACAGGGCAGTCAAGCCGTCCTCGCAGCTGCCCACAGACGGTGCGCAGGCAGCGTCCGGAAGTCCTTGAATTAGGGCAGAGAACATGGCAGAAGGCATCTAAGTCACTAGTCCTCGAGCCCCGTGTTTCTGTCAGGCCCCTTGGTGAGCCTAGTTTGGACCTCACCCCTGCAGCAGGGGACCTGCTGGGATCAGGGCGCCCTGCGTTTCCGAGCACCTTACCTGCACCTTCCAGGCCTAGAACCTAGGTGTGCCCAGGGTTCCCAGCAGAAGGTGGCCGGTGAGTGGCTGGCCCCAGGGAGCGGGAAGGCTTTCTAGGCGGCGCCCCCTTGTGTCCTACCATGGCCATTAACATCATCCTTGGCTGGTTTCTGACCTGAAGGGTGTTTACTAATCTATAGCTAGTGTGTAGAGCAAAGTTATGTAAAGTGTTTTTACATATATTTTATTGTCATGGTAACTGGAGGGGCAGCCCCTTGTCCATCCCCTGTGGATGTGTCCCTGAGCTCTGGCTCTGAGCCACGGCTGTGGCTGGGCACTCAGGGACGCGATGAGCAGGATGGCCCTGGCCTCCATGGAGCTCTTCCTCTGGTGCTTCCGCCCCTGGAGGCGAGAGCCCGAGTTCCGCCCCGGCCAGGGGTAGCCGGCGGCCCTGCGGCTGGCGCGCTGCCGGGCGGGGCTGAGCGCTCTCTCCTCTTGCCCCAGGTCTGGTCTCTGATCCGGCTGGCACGCCGATACCTGCAGAAGGGCTACACTACGCTGCTCTTCCAGGAGGGCGACTTCTACTGCTCCTACTTCCTCTGGTTCCAGAACGAGATGGTGGGTGTGACTCTCCTTTGCTGCAACTCTTGGCTGCTGCTTGTGGGCTGTGTTCAGCCTGTCTCTTCATCTCTTCTTGTCCCTGGTGGAGCCGACGGACAAGTCAGGCGGGTGGGGACCAAGAACTCAGAGGTCTCATTTTCACACCGGCTCTCTGACCCTTCCACCCAGTGGTCTCAAAAACTCATGCTGTTGTTCAAGGCAGTGTGTGAACAGAGGGACGCACGCTCCTGTGAGGGAGGCCGCCCAGATCACGTGCTGCCTCAGCGGTGCCTCATTGCCACCCACTGCACTTAGGAAGCATGGCACACTCGTTCCCACAGCAGAGCTGGATGCGCCGAGGCCCAGAGCAGTCAACAGCCTGCCCAGGGGGAAGCCGACAGTGCGTCTCTAGGCCTCACTGTCACTGCAGTGTCCGCGCACGGCCTGGGAATTTATTGCCTGTGCCGTCCCCATGCCCCCTCTTCCTCTCCCTCTCTCTCCCCGCCCATGTCCTGCCTTCTTCCCTCCCTCCCCACTCCTCTTCCTTTTCCACTTCTCTTTGTTTTCTTCTCCCTTGTCACCATTAGTCATTATTTCTACTCTCTAAGGGTTGTTTCTTCTACCCCCCAAATGCCCTTGGTCCCCATTCCCCTGTCCCCTCCCCCCCATGCCCTACTCTCTCTCTGCTCTGGGCAAGAAGGGTCCCTGAGGTGATGGCCATCCCTTTCCACGGTGCAGATATTAGAGTCTCTCACCCCGGTTCTCGTAACCCCACATCCACACAACCCCGCGCAACAGTCAGGGCAGGTATCACTGACCGCATTCTACACGTTGGAGAAACTGGTGATCTGGAGATCAGGCACCATGGCTGGGGTCACTGAGGCCATAGGTGATGAAGCCAGGTTCAAAAGGCTCAGCTCTTTTGACCTGTAGGCTGCTCCCATCTTTGCTCTGTGTCCTCAGAACTTCTAGAGCGAGACACAGCTTTGTGTGCTTGGTTGGCCCCACAGTAAAGCTGTGGGGTAGGCTAAAGTAAAAGCTGTGGGGTAGGGAGCCCCGTGTGAAGTCTGGCCGCACCTGCGCCACCGTGAGTGGCCACTTACTGCAGCCGAGCCCAGCTCCCCATCTGCAGGGCGGGCCCCGCGGTGCCGCACAAGCTCTCTGAGGAGCCCCGTGACTGGGCCTGGCTCACAGCAGGTGCCCAGGGGATCTTGGTTCCCTTCCCCTCCAGATCCTACCCTGTGAGTTCCCAGTGTTTTCAAAGAGAGACGGGCCTTTTGATAATGCCTCGCTCCTCATGACACCTGCCCGGGTCACTGTCCCAGCAGCCCTCCTGCGCATGCTGACCCAGGTCCATTCATCGATGGCAGTGGGAGCTACCATCTGCCAGGCACAATGGTCAGGCCTGTATACACATTATCCCCAGTGTTCGCTGGGAATTATTGTTATTCCCAATTCACAGATGAGAAAGCAAGGTAAAAGGTCCACGGGTTTTCCCAGCACCAAAGCCCGTACCAGGCAGGGCTGAGCCAGCCCCGGACCTGGTGCGTCTGACCCACAGTCATGTTCTTCCCGCCGCACCCACCGCCTCCCCAGTCACGATCCTCTTTCTCCCTCCTCAGGGGTACAAACTCCAGATAATCGAGGTGCCCGTCCTTTCCGATGACTCGGCCCCCGTGGGCATGCTGGGCGGAGACTACTACAGGTGACACCCCTTCGGAAGGCTGATGGGGCTACGGGTGCACAGACGTTGGGTGATACGTGGCAGTTCCTCCTTCAGGATGCCCCCCCCCCCCCGCCACCACCCAAAGAAGCTAGAAACCCTCATAGAGGCTCCTTGGCCTGGCCCGGCCCAGCCCGGCTGCAGTGAGAGAAGCAAGTGGAGCGCACTGGGGTTTCTGCCCATCCCACTGTTGGCACCCCCTTGGCAGCCTTTGCAAACATCTGTGTGGGAGCCCCAGGACTTCCCTGCTGGCTCTGTGGCGTCTTAGCTGGGACGTGTGGCGAGCAGGCCCCACACAGGACTGAGAACCCATGGGGATGGACTGTGGCAGCCCGGGGCTGAGCCTTGCACGGTCAGGTCAGCGGGGGCCGGGCATCCCTTGCTGGCCCTGGTGCTGGGAGCTGGGGCGGCGCCGGTGCTTGTGAGCTGCGGAGGAGGTCGCTGGCCAGGGGCGGGGCGGGGGAGGTCAGGGCCTCGCTCCTGAAACCTGCCCTCCCTTTTCCCCCACAGGAAGCTCCTGCGCTACTACAGCAAGGGCCACCCGGCCGAGACTGTCAGGTGCCACGAGCTGCTGGCCCTCCACCTGTCAGTCATCCCCGTAGACGTGCTGGTGCAGCAGGCGGGCGAGCTGGCCCGGCGCCTGTGGGAGGCCTCCCGTGTGCCTCTGCTCTAGGCCGTGCCACGAACCTGTGCACCCCGGGTCTGCAGACCCACGCTCACTTGCAGGCGTTCCTCATGGCAAGAGCCTCTTTCTGTCCGTGGAGGCCACCTGAGGATGGGACAGTCCCCAGGGCAGCCCAAAATTTTTCTTTTCTTTTTTGTTTTCTTCTGTTCCCTCCCTTTAGCATTTCTTAAAGGAACTTCACCTAGAACAGCCTCTACTCCAGGCAGTGACCAAGCCCCGAGACTCCTCCGTCTTGTGGAGGAGGGCGACCGGGAGGTTGCTTCGGTCTCCCTAAAACAGCAGTGGCTGTGAGGTTCAGGGCTGCCTCTCCATTTATCCCCAGGAGACGGAGCAAATCCCCAGTGTCTGCTGTGTCTGAAGACACCTGCCCCGTCCCACCCCACGCGGACGCTGCTCCGCTGGCCAGGGTTGAATTCCAACTCTTCCACTTCCCATCTGCAGCTCTGGGCAGGTTTTCCAAACTAAGCCTGTCTCCCCACACACAGAGTGACAACGCCTCCCTTTCCAGGTGTGTGGGGCCTGCTGGACACGGGACAGGTGCTCAATAAATACTGGTGCGGGTATTGATATTGTCCAAGTCAGACACACCCGGGCCCCTGGACACTCCCGGCCGCTTGGTGCCCCACACAGTGCTCGAGTCCTGCCCAAGCCCCCCCTAGAGACCACGTCCTCCAGCCATGGATCCCAGGCGACCCTGGTGTGCCGGGGACTGAGGTCCACTGCCCAAGGGGTGCAGCCCCCAACCTAGGAGTTCCCACCCCAGGATGGACACAAGGATGGCAGGCCGCTGGAGCGCTGGGCCTGGGCAGAGGTGCTGCGGCAGCAGGCGGCACCCAGCGCTGCAGAGCTTTGGGTCCGGTTATGACACGCGGACAGCCGGGCCCTCTGTGTCCACAGTCCAGCCCAAACTCGTGCCACTAAGGCTGCCCTTTCCCAGTAAGAGAACAGCCCAGCGGGGCAGAGAAAGGAACTAGAATCACATCCCAGGCTAAAGTGCTCAGAAGGTGACAGGGACAGAGTCACCTGAGGTAATTGGGACTGCACTCCTTGATAGAATTTAATGGACAGAAATTTAAAAATATCTATTGTGGAAAATACAGAACAGCACAAAGGGGAAACTAAGTCTGGAAGCCCCCCACCCTCCACTGTTTAAGGGTCCCCACTTTGTCCCCTTAAATTTTATCAGCTGCATGCGGTGACATATTTGGTTTACCTTTCAATATTCTAGTAACACCAATCGAGCGTCCTGGGTGGGATTTCCGCAGAGCTCCGCAGGGGGGCGAACTTCCATGGTGAGTGGAGAGGTGTCGAGAGGAGACGGTCCTCGGAACGCCCCCTTACGCAGAAGCGCTTTTTCTCTGTGTCCTCCCAACTTGGAGATGAGTTTCAAACAGCGGGTTTCTGGAGCAGATGTCAGAGCAGCATGGACGCTTCCAGCCGCGGGGGTGTTTTCTTCCTACAAGGGGAGTGGCCTGCGAACTACCGGGCTGACAACAAGGGCTCCTAGTTCAAGACAGGCCAGCGGGTAGTAAGAAGGCACTTTAGCACAAGATACTCGTAGATGTGATCTTTAATCCCTGAGGATTCTTGGGGAAGGTGCCAGAAGACGCCAGGCCAACGAAAGAGAAAGATGACCCTGAGTGGTGTGGCTCAGTGGGTTGGGTATCAACACACAAGCCAAAAGGTCTCTGGTTCGATTCCTGGTCAGGGCACATGCCTGGGTAGCAGGCCAGGTCCCGGCTCGGGGTGTGGGAGAGACAACTTAGCAATGTTTCTCTCCTCTCCCACCCCTCCCCTCTCCCTGAAAATATCTTTTTAAAAAGAAAAAAAGGTGAACCCCGAGAATTACAGGTGCGTGAACTGGCCCCAAGGCCCTCAGGCACCTGCAGCAGCCTGTTGAGCTCACGGAGGTTAAGCAATTGGGAGAGAACCCGGGACCGCGCCGCTTTTGGGGGCGGGGGGCCGGTGGTGGGGCGCTGTGGGCAGAGACAGACGTGCCCTCCCCGCAGTTTTGCTGAGGGCCTGGGTTCCCTGCGGGGTTCACCGCCCCACAGGCCAGCAGCACAGGGGACGTGAAGCACAGTCGAACCTGAGTCTCAAATTTCCCACTCAGCCCATCCCAGACATTTATTCCTTAATGAGAAGCAGGACGCGCGCGGTGCACACGCACTGCCGCACATCCTTCTCTGAGCTTCTGGGCCCTCGTCTGTAAAACGGGAGCCCCGGGGTCCTCACAGCACCGGGCACGCGCAAGCCCTAGGGAGTTAGCAGCACAGACATGCCTCTCCGGAGCCCTGGAGGCCGCACCTCTCCTGCCGGGATCGCAGGCGACCTCCCAGGACGCTGTCCTGTGTGGACTCCGCGGGGGCGTGTGCAGCTCGCTTCCTCGTGCAGTCGTGGCCCAAGGGCCGCGGGACCGCAGCTCCTCCTCTCTTCCTGCGCCCGCCCTGCCCCTCCCCCCTGCTTGAGGAGGGCAAACGCTGATTGCAGGCAAATTCCTGGTTTGGCACTGGGCAGAAATGGCTGCAGGTGGCCGAGGCCTCTCCAGGGCCCTGCGTGCCTCTCCCAGCCCTGACTGGAGACAAGCTCACTGGGAAGCCAAGGCGCGCCTGAAGCCTGAGTACGATGCGGTGATAATAGGAGCAGGTAAAGCGGGCTGCCGGGGAGGGCCTCCTTCCCAACCTCCCCTGTTTTCTGGGCACAAACTGGCCAGGAGTTGGGGCAAGTGACAGCAGGGGCTGCGGTGGAAAGCCCACCAGTCTGCAAGCAGACACTGGGGTTCTGGGGTAGCTCTGCCCTCTGCTTGCTGTGTGGTCTGGCGCAGATTCGTTCCCTCTCTGGGCTTGCATCTTCCCATCTAGAATGACGATGGGGAACTAGGTCATTCCATCTCCTGTGAAGTTTGCTGGTTGCCATCACATTCTTGAAAAGCAAATGGTATATAAGGGTTAGAAAGAAAGAGCCCTGGGACAGCAGACCCGTGAAACCCAGCCACCCCAGGTGCCCTGAGTTCTGGTCACCACAACCTCATCACTAAGGTCACCCGTCCCCAGAGGAAACTGGAATTGTTTCCTATAGGGGAGCTAGGGAGAAATAGAAATGAGTCCCAGAGATCCTAGTGCGTGTCCGCAGAGAGTGACAGCCCCCACCACCTTGCACATGTGGGGTGTGGAATCTGCAACAGTGGTCCCGCTACAGCCCGCTGGCCCGCGGGCTGCGGAGCACAGGATGCTACCCGGTGAGGGCGAGGCTGCTGGCCGGGACCAGGCTGGCCTTCCTCGGGACCTGCCATTCACGCGCACGAAGGGCCTGAATTTCAGCTTTTGACATTATTTCCAACTGGGTTTACAGAGAGAGAGAATGACAGGACTGAGCGAACATGTCCATCACACAGCTTTAAAGCTGCATCTAAAAGTGGCGTGGCACACAGCTTTACAGATAAAATGACGGTGTGCTAAACCCCAGCCAACCAAATGACTCTCTCCGAATTCCTGTGATTTTTGCCAAACTCAGTAGCCAATCTATGGTTGCAATTGACAAATGTGGATAGTTCCCCCCAAAAATGTTTGATATTTTTATTCACTTTAAAGAGTAGAACAAAAGTGAAATAAGTGAAACAAAGAAGATTTATACTTGAACTTCGCTCCTTCAGCAATGGGACACGCTTTCCTCAATCAGATGATAGTTTTTGAAATCGGGAAGGCCCTTTCCTCCGTTCTCTGTGCTATTCACAATGTTTCAGCTACAGACACACACACCGATGAGCCTTATCTCCGCATCCCCGAAGTCATGCCCGTACCGGGGAGCCACCTCGAAGATGACTCTCACTTAGTCATCTGACTCAATGTGCCTAAGAATGACCCAGGAACTTGTGAAAATTGGGTTTCCCAGGCCCTCAACCTGGTGATTAGGATTCTCAGGACTGAAGGTGACTCGGGAGGTCAGCATGTCTAACCAGCCCTTTGAGTGGATCCGATAAAGGCGGCGGCAGCCCGAAGGTTCAGGAACCCTTGCTCCGAGCAGCTTCCCTGGAGAGGCCTGGTGCCCGCTGCCTGAGGATCGCAGGGTCAGGCCTGGAGATTAGCTGAGCCTGCAACTTAAGGCCACTTCAGAGGTCACCAGAAGCCACAGGCGGGTTCAGCCAGGACTCAGAGGGAGGGGGTGGAGGGGGGAGAGATTCTCGACCTTTGTCATTTGAGGTGTGTTTGTGCATTTGTGGGCTTATCTGTGATGATTGAACTGGAACCCAGTTGCCTGGAAGCCTTTATTAGTTTTCCAAGATTTATAATCAGCACTAATTAAAGGACCAATAGCTACCATTTATTGTGGGTCTGCTAAAGGCCAGGGCTTTACATACATTATTGGTTATTCTCTCCGCGGACACTGCAAGGTCCCCAGCATTGTCTCTGTTTTACATACGAAGAAGCGTGAGGCTCCTGGCCTTTAAACGGACTCTCTCAGGGCCATGCCTGGTAAATAGCAGAACCCGGCTGCGCTCGGGGCAGCTGGCCTTTAAGCTGTGTGTATTTGAGAGCAGGGTTTTTCAAACTGCAGGATGCAACCCATTCATGAGTCCACCCAACAATATTTTTCAAACTTTCTTAAGAGAATTTTCAAAAGTATGTAAAAATAGTATATCCACCAGCAAGTAAAAAAATAATATATTGTCAAATAGATCATCGCCTGCTGATCCCATGATAAGAGTTAATATCAGTTCACGAAACCTGTTTCTGTGCAGTGCACCTGCGTGTGCAGGCCGTGCCAGGCCGCAGTGCGGGTGCTTTCCTTCCCCTGGATCGGTGTTGGAGGGGTTTGGAAACTGTGCTAGAGATTCCTCCAGTGGGTGAGAGGCTGGCTCAATGACCTCTAAAACTCTGGGAGTTGCTATGTGGAAAATTTAAAACAAAATCAGCTCAGCTGTGAAGAAATCCATCACATGGGTCATTGCTGTTCCCCTATTTATGGATGTTTGTGAAGTTATCAGTTGAGCATTTTATTTGAGTCAACACAGCATTTGAGTTGATGCTCAGAGAACACAGTCATCTAACATCTCTGAAGACGCAGGATGACCTTTTATCACCAGGGACAGACACATGCCAGGCAGTCCAGACTAAGCTCCGCCTCTTTCCCCAAACATTACTGGGGCCTGTTCTCTGTCCATGGAGGATCCATGGACAGCTGCACCTTCTCCTAAAAGTAAAGAAAGAGGGAGCCTCTCAGCCCCAGGGACCCCCCTGTGTCAGACAACCTGGGAGAAAGCCCATCCCAGGCCCCGCCAACAGCCCGCTGGACTCTGAGGAGAGACTTGGGAGTCTCAGCATTTGCACGAGTTCCCAGGTGATCCTGAAGCTTCTTAAAGCTGGAGAGGCATCTGCTAGCAGTGGGCTTGGTGCAGAACATGGGATCCTGAACCAAGTGCAGGGCTCCTAAACCCAAGGCAGCCATCCTAAGATTTTTAGAAAGAAACTTTGCATGTAAGATAGGTAAGTTTGCCCAAAATCCTGGCACCCCTGAAACGTACTAGCTACTCTAGCACACATGGAATCTATCTACGTTTATGACTCCCTATTGGATGGTACTTAGTTTATTTTGGGGGCGCTGGGGATTGACAGACAAACCCATGTGCCTGAAGACTTCCAGAGCACTAGTGTGTGAACCACACTTGGCAAAACCAGCCAGGCTTGACCGCAACCGTCCACACGACCAACACTTACCTGGTTGGCCACTGATTCTATCCTGGACAGAAACCTCCAACCTCAGCGATCCAGCCACGTTCCCTTCTCTTCCCTGCCAAGTAAACTGTGGTGCTTCCCCCAAGAGTCACCCACTCATCCCCAAGTGACGGAAGCTCAGCTTCCATCTGATGGCCACAGATCTCTCCTTGCCCCTCCCGGCAGCATGGAGCCCCTGGCCAAGCCAGGGTGAAAGGACATCTTTCGAGCCAGGGGAAGAACCAGAGTTTTCTGACTGTCCAAAGACCAGGTGTTTTAAGGCATCAAGCTAGAGGCTGTTCCAACATCCAGATACAGGTTTAGGGGGTCCCCCAAGACTCTGCTACCTCTCCAGCATCTTCACAGACATGGGGACAGGGATGGGTGACCACATTACTCAAGGAATGTGTCTGTATGCCTACTGACCGGAATTGCTTTCCTCCCCTCTCCCTTGTATCATTGCAGGTCACAACGGGCTGGTGGCTGTGAGTACCTCCCCCTCTGCCCCACTCCACTGGCCCCTGGGTGTGTGGCTCTCAGTAGCCCTGGGAGAGAAGGAAAGGCAGGCTTGTCCCCCTCCCTGGTGCTGACCCGTGGCCAGGTGGGACAGACACCTGCAGTAGTTAAAAAGGACATCAGGGGCTCCCTTTCTTCTCTCCTTAATGCATGTGGATTTCTCCTTGACCTTGGGAGAGTCGGGGAACGTCCAGAGGTGAGAGATGAGAAGCTGGGGAAGTGTGTAACCGGCACAGCCTGGGAGATGTGCTGGAGTCTGGGGGTCAGGTCCCCAGAGCTGGGTGGGGCCCTCTGCTCCGGTTATGGGCAGTCCTGGGTGCACAGCCCTGTGCTCCCCGCCAGGCCTAGGCCCGGCGGGGAGCACACAGCAGCCACATGGTCCCACGTGCACCCTGGAGGTGGCATGGAAGCCAGTGCAGCAGAGGAGGGGCCTGCCACTCTGAGCTGGGCCAGGGCTACCCTGTGGCTGTGCCTCTCAGACCTGAGTCCGTGTGCGGCTAGGAGGGCACGGTGTGCCAGTGGGTGTTCAGGACACAAGGCAAACGTAGAACATCTTTCTGAAGCAGTGGCAGCTCTAGAATATCAATAGAGGGGACTTAGCAACGCCGGGGAGGGGTGAACCATGCATTAAATCTCAATGCTTTCCCTGACAAAGCAATCTTAGTTGAACATTTTACAGGGGGCATTCTGTAATTCAAGCAATCAGTAATTTAAAACATCAGTTTTGTATGGCTATAAACCTGGGCTCGCCCCCCAGCTCTGCCATGTCCTACCTGCGGAGGGCAAGGCAGGTCACTCCAGCTCTTGCAGCCACGGTGAAACCAGGGCAGGGACGCCCAGCCTCACGGAGTTGCTGTAAAAGGAGCAGGTGACGTGTCCCAGGGCCCGGCACAGGCAAAGGCTGGTGGCTCACTGCTGGAGGTCTCTGGCCCAGGGGCCCCCAGGCACCCTCCCTGCTCACCGAGTTGGGTGGTGACCCTTTGCAGCCAGGAGACAGCACCCAGGGTGTGGGGGTGGGGGGCAGGCAGGGAAGGCCGGGGCGACTCAGTGAGAGGTCGTTAGGAGGTGCTTTGCTTGGATGACTTGAGGGAGATCCGAGGAAGCAGGCGCTTGCTCTCGATGGACACTGTCAGAAAGCGGGACCGCTCTGACTGGGCACCTCGATGACTCTGGTCTGCAGGGAGAGGGAGGAGAACGGGAACTGGTGAAGAAGCAGCAGTCACTCAGCCCAGAAAGGGAGCCTTTGGTATTTTCAGGTGGCCCAGAGCCCCTTTTCTGTTTGTGCTTGGACAGAATTGTGGAGGGGGCTTGCTCTGTCTCCGTCTCTGTGCTCTGGGGCTACCCTGGTCCAAGGCGGCCTTTCTCAGGGAGAGCCAGGCCAGCTTCCCACGGTCGGCGCCGCTCTTTCTCCTTTCTCGTTGGGATGTGCTGGGGGTGTAGCCCTGGCTCCAGACCAGCTGGGTTCAATTCCCAGGTCCTCTACTCATCAGCTCCGTGAGCCTGAGGAAAGCGAGTCACCTCGCTGAGCCTCGGTTTCCTCACCTGTGAAATGGGAAGAACTAGAGTCCTACCTTGAGGGCACTGGATTGATAACATGATCCAGTCCAGTGTCTGGCACCTAGTAGGTGCCAAGTGAACTGTTTTTAAAAAGTCTGAGTTGTGAGCTACATGCCCCTGTTGTCACCTTGGTGGTGGTGAAGGACCAGCATAGACCCAAAGCCCAAGGAATTCTAATCAGCAGATATTTATTGAGTTCCAACTAAGTGGTAGAGAAAAATGAATAAACCCCTCCATCATCTGTTCCTCCAAATAAAGTTGTACTAGAGCCCTAGCTTCGTTCATCCGGCACGGTCTGTGCGCCAGGGCCCAGCTCCGCGAATCCTCCAGCGGCGGCGAAAACAGGTGGCGCGGGTATCGCTCTCAGGGGCCCCACCTTTGCACGTGAGCAAATGGAGGCCTGGCAGACTGGGGGTCGGGGCTGCCCTGGCGGAAAGAGAGAGGACTAGAAGCGGGAGAGTCAAAGCTGGCTCAGCGCCCACCAGCAGGGTCACTGTGTCGCCTCTCAGGCCCTGTGAGGAGGGCTGAGGTCGCGCCACCTGGAGGAGAGGGACCTGAGTTCATAGGCACCTGGGCCTGGCACTAGGGGAGGTGAGCTTCAGCTAGGACGTACCGGGGCAGGAGCCAGCAGGTGGGATCCTGGAAGACTTTTGGGAAAGTGCGAGTTTACAGGAGAAACAAGGGGCGTGGCTTTCCTGGAGGCGGGAACAGCAGGAGCTGAGGGGTGGCAGGCTGGCCCTGAGGTGAGGGCCCTGAGACTGCAGGCTGGTCCCCGGCGATGAAGGGGCCCCCCCCCCGTGTGTCTCTCCAGGCGGCCTACCTACAGAGACTGGGGGTGAGCACGGCCGTCTTTGAGAGGCGCCACGTGATCGGGGGCGCAGCTGTGACGGAGGAGATCGTTCCAGGTGAGCCGGAGAGCTGGTGCGGGAACCGGCGGCAGCGGGAACCATCGGTGACCACTGGTAACGGCTTCATCTTATCTGGTTTCAGGGTTTAAATTCTCCCGAGCATCCTACCTTCTCAGCCTGCTGAGGCCCCAGATTTACACTGAGCTGGAGCTGAAGGTACAGCTCCTGCCCTGCAGCCCCTGGGCGGAGGCGGGGTGGTCAGTTCCATCTTCCCTCTGGGGTGAAGGCTCCCTGTCTTGCGCCCATGATGTTTCCCTGAACCCCAGGTCCCTCTTCCATCCGAGAGCTTGTCCATCCCACACGGTCTCCTTGGTACGTCCCTACAGATGGGTTTTGTCCAGCCCACCCAATGTCTTAAAAATCAGGAAATTTCACATAAAAATGAAACTTCTTTTGATGGACGAGCTGTGACAACAGCAGACCGGTGCTCCTCCGCGCAGCGCTCTGACCCCCGCGTGGGGCGGGGCCCCAGCCCTGCCCTCCCCGGTCCATCGCTCTCCGGCATCTTGTCTGCCCCCCACCCCGCGGACCTAGCTGAGCCTTTGAGCCCCCAGGTTTGCAAAGCTGTCTTAGGACATGAGGCTGATTAAACCTTAGATCCTGTTACCATCCTCAGCAGCCTGAGCGGGAAGCCGGAGGGACTCTCACCCTCTCTGGCCCCTGGGCTGCTGTGAGGGGGTCGGAGGCCCCTCAGTCTGCCCCTGTTGCCTTCCCTTAACCTTAGTCCACGGGCTTGGCCAACGGTGCCTCTTTTATAATCTCTGGTCGCCTCGTCCCTGAGCCCACTAGCTTCTACCTGCTTGGTGCCTCTGTCACTCGAGAGAAAAATGTCCTTTGCCATCTGTACAGGAAGCTGCCATGCACTTTTAGCACAGCCTTGGGCTCTAAATTAAAAGTTTGAAATTAATAAGACGTTGAGCCACTGTTCACAGCTCTTTGGCGCCTTGAACTCTTTCACACAGAGAAGCTCTCCAAACTCAGTAACTACAGAAACCCATGAAAAAATGAGCCTTTGAGCCCTTCAGAGAAAGAGAGGCAAAAACAGAGAGGAAGAGAGAGACAAAGACAGAAAGAGAGAAGGAAGAGGGAAGAGGGAAGAGGGAAGAGAGAATGAGCCTATCGCCAGCTGGGACCGGGTGAAATCTAGCCAAGGACTGGACGTGGGTCTCGGGCCCTCTGTCCCTAGCCGGCTGCAGCGGGAGGCAGTGCGGAGCAGTTACGCACAGTGGCGGGTGTGGGGCAGCAGGTGCGTGGGTAGCCCCTTCTTTTGGAAAATCTAGCTTCTAAAAACTAAGAATCACAGAATAGAAACTTTCTCATGATTATTCACTTTATTTTTTTTAATGTGCTCCTGAAAAGTTCCATGTGCTACTCAAATATTTGTAAAGCAAATCATATTTTAAATGCATCAAGGGAGCTTCCATTTAAGGTGACCCTGGAGTAAATGAGTCTGCAAAGTAAATAAAATTTTTTTGATGTGAATAATTTATCTCCCTTGTAAATATGGATTTTCACATAATTGTTGCTTTATTGTGTCTTTCTAAATTTTAATTATTTATCTCTGGAGTAGGGGAAGCTACAGGCTAGTGCTGAGAGTGAGCCAGGGCTCTGGAGTCACAGAGATGTGGTTTTGAGACCCAGATCCACCTCCCCATGTGACCTTGGACAAGTTAGCGTCTCTGAGCCTCTGTTGTTGCATACGTACAGTAAAGATGTAGGGTTGTTGTAAGGTGACCATTGGAAGCCCTGGTACAGTCCCTGACACAGGGTAGCGTGCTGTTGCATGGTGTACATGACCACATGGTGCGCTGTGGCATGATGTGTATGACATAACATGGTGTGGCATTGTATGTTGTGGTGTGGTATGATGTGCTATGACATGGTGTGGCATGGTATGATATGATCTGCCACAGAGTACTTGGGCAAGGGGGATTTTATATACGTATATTAAAAATAGGAATCAGGGCCTCGGGAGCCTGCATACAGGTACATACATGGTCATAAACACAATCAGAGAAGGGTCAAGGGCAGAGGCCCCGAATTTCTTCAAGTGTCGCTTGCTCTGTGTTCTGCAGAAACATGGGCTGAGGCTTCATCTTCGAAACCCCCGCTCCTTCACCCCCATGCTGGAAGAAGGCACAGGGAGCAAGGTGCCCCGGTCCCTGCTTTTGGGCACAGACATGGCGGAAAACCAGAAGCAGATCGCCCAGTTCTCCCGGAAGGATGCCCAGGTGGGGAAAGTGACCGGCGGCTGACCTCTCCCTCCCTGTCCAGGCCGCAGGCAGCCCGTGAGAGGAGCCGGGGCTGGCTGGCGCTGGCCTGGCGCCCGTGTCCAAGGGCCGCAGGCGCTCGCACAGCCATCCCACCTGCCCCAGGAGGGTTCCAGCCTGTGCCAGCCTTTGATCTTGGGCACTGCAAAGAGAAGGGGATGGAGGCCAGTGGCCAAGACCAGTGGACACTGGAGCCCCCCGAGCCCGTGTGTGTCCAGTCCGAGGCCTCTGGTCAGTGGCCTCTGCCTGCTGAGGTTCAAAAGGGAACCCACTCCTATGACTCACACCGCACGGGTTTTCTGTCTCCCCTGCTTCTGGCAAAACTGTAAGTGGTTATCAATATTAAAGCACAGGAAGGCCAAAAGGAAGGATTAAGGATGGATCAGAGACGATTAAGGAGAGAATGGACTGGATCAGGAATAGAGGACAAGAGAGTTGTAATAAATATTCATTCGATTTGGCATCCATCCCCTGGCAGCCCAAGGCAAGAAACCGTCCGCACTGGCAGGCGGGGCTGATGGAGGGAAGCGCCACACCTGGTGGGGAGTGCACGCTTTTTCCTGAGGCTCGCATTAGAAGGGAGTTGTTGTGTAGCTTTGTCTAAAGAGTTATTGAATGTAGTGGGCCTGGTGTGATTGGTTTTGCAGTTATTAAAAGAGTCCTTAAGTGGCTGTTTTTTGTACTAAGCCTAGAGATAAGCTGAAGGCATAGCATTAACTAATATCTCGGTGGAGACATTTTTATAAGAAAAACCTAGGTTAATACAGTCAACGTGTGTTGCTTTTGGTTGTGTTAACCTAGTATTGGGTAAAACCAAGAGGACCACAGACGCACAGTACATCTCTTCAACGAGCAATTTCCAAACCTGGCTGACAGTCAGAGTCACGGAGGGAGCTTTGCTTTTTTTTCAAAGTGACTCTTCCATGCACTTGGGTTGGGGACCGCTGCCTACCTGCACCCTGTTCTCCGGATCCTGCGCATCTCAGATGCACTAAAGAGGGTTCCGGGCAGGGCTGGTCCCTGGGCCTGTGGGACAGCAGCTGTGGCCTCAAGTGCTGCCAGCCTCCGAAGCTGGAGGAGGGGGTACATCCACCGTGGAAGGTACGGGGCCCAAATTGCGCCTTTGTCTTTGTGCATTGTCATATTAAAGACCTGCTGCGGAGAAAGCTGTTCAGCTTCACATTTATCAAGACTTCTCAAATGCACTTCAACACAGAACTTTTCTTATGTAACAATTATTAAAATTCCATGGGTATAGCTGTGTGTCTAGATGAAACAAAAATTAAAGCCTCTGGGCTGAAAATGAAGATAAGGCCTCCAGTGACACAGTGAAGGACGGGTGGGTGTCAAAGTGGACTCTGTCATGGGAGTTTGTGGGGCGAAGCGAAGAGACTACTGTGCCTGCTTATGAAGAGAGGCCGTGGGAGATTTGCAGACCAGGAAAGCACAGTTGGCCTGCTGGGATCAAGGAAAGAGCTCTTACTTTTATCAGCAATATGTGGACAAACAAGAGAGAAAAAAGAAACTTTTAAATGGTTTTTGGTTTGTCACAGAGACCACACCCTTGGTGCTTGCCGGTTTTCTGTGGCTGACGACTGGTCTGGGCCAGCATGAGTCCCTTGTTCCTGCCGCCGCCTGAGGGCCCTCCGGCTGCCCAGGCTCCCTCTGACCTCCCCTGAGGGACCTAGAGCAGCACATAGACCTAGAACAGGGAGGAGCTCAGCACAGCCACGCTCAGCTGGCTCCGCGCCAGGCCCGAGGAACCGCAGAGGCTCGGCCCCGGGGCAGCAGGCTGCAGGGGGCAGCATGGAGGGCAGGCATGGGGACCATGTCCCTTCTGGGCAATGGGGCCTTGACTTGGGGCTCTGTTCTAGGCTTTTCCCCAATATGAGGACTTCATGAATCGCTTGGCATTAGCCATTGACCCTCTGCTGGACGCACCCCCCGTGGACATGGAGGCCTTCCGGCGGGGCTCCCTGCTGCAAAGGCTCAAGTCGCTGTCCACCCTCAGCCCCTTGCTACAGGCAGGTAAGTCCACAGGGCTGGCATCAGGGCACGACGTGCGACCTTCAGGGAGTGGAGCCCATTCTCTCTGTTACCAGACATAAGCCTGAACCTCCAAGGCAGCCTGCCTGCTGCCGTCCACTTCTGGGGGTGGCCTGGAGCGTGTGAGGGAGGAGGTCGTAGCTTGGCCTGCCCTAAAACCAGAGCCTGACACAAAGGCTTACATGTGAGTAGTGCATTTTGAAAGGCGACCCAGAGAATGGCGGACTGAAACTGGAAAGACGGGGACTCGATACTGGGGTGTGCTGCTTGCTGGCCACCATGTGGGTGACAGAGTGAGGATCCCGTGAGGACCCTCTGGAAGACTTATGAAATGCACGAGACCATTCCCAAGAGAATAAAGGGGAACCACTTCTCCATCGGGTTCTGCCTCCCACTGAGCAAAGGTGGCCCCATGGGGTATTAATTCCCACACAGGGCTGTGCATTCCTGGGTGCCAAGTAGTTACTTGTGGGTACCCTGTCATGGTGCCAGAGAGGCCCCAAGGCAGAAATGAAGAGGCACATCCTACAGGTGTGAGGTGAGATGCTGTGAGCTGCACTGTATGACGCTGATGGAAGTCTGCGTGAAGCTTGTCACCACAGCCAGTTGGAATAAGAGATTTGAAGAGGTGCCCCATCTGAAGAAGATGCTAGATTTGGGCTCATCAAGAAAAAAATTCTGTGATCAATTAGTGATGTCTGCCATGGTTATGAGAAGGGAAGTTTGGCCAAGCAAGCAAGCATAGGTCTTTGTACTACTCCTCTAGGTTATAAAGACCAGTTTGGCATCTATATTTTAGAAAAACACTGAAATAGTTAGCTATGGTCACAAAATTGCTGCATAAAGCCATAAAACTCCAGTGGCATTAAAAATAAAAATTTATTTCTCATGAATTCTCAGATTCGTGCACCTAGGCTCAGCTAATCTGGTCTGGTCTCACATATATGTTTGTGCCTGAGGCAGAACTCTGCTCCAGGTGCCTCTCATTCTTCCCTTGGAAGCTGCAGGCTAGTCCAGGCATGGCCTTCTGGCAGCAATGGCAGAAGCTCAGAGGGAAGCCCTGATGGGCAGGCCAATTTCAAGCTGCTGTTCGCATCACATCTTCAGACATTTCATTGGCCAAACAAACCATGTGGATGAGTCTAGAATCAAGGAGTTGGGCAGGAGCAACTCAGCTAGGGTGGGAGGCACTGCAGAGTTACAGGACCAAGTATGTGGATGGGGGTGGGGAGGAGAAGGATTGGAGCCAGTGGTATCTATCACACACTCCAAAAGTAGACATCATCTCTCAGATTACCCGTCCAAAGAGCTTCATGCTGAAATGTTCATGTAATGAACATTCATTGAGCAACTACTATGTGCCCCACTGACCTAAGCATGGGGGCTCCAATAGCTAGAGATCAAGACCCTGTCCTCACAGCCTTACTACCCAGTCACTCTCTGAGATGCTCTGAATCAGTATCCGAGGAGTGGACTAGCCAAACCGGCTACCTCCCAGGACACAGGACTTACAGAGTTCAACTTCAGGGAATAAGGCACAAGTTAAAATTCTCCCAGAATAATTCCAGCAGCAAAAATGTATTAAGTGCCTATGGCCTTGCAGACATTTACACCTTCATCGAATCCTCACAATAGGTCTTGGGTGTATGATATATTACTCCCATTTTACAGACAAAGGAGCAAGTGCAGAGATATTGCAGATCAGAGCATTTCCTTCTTGCCTGTCTCAGTTTATGTTTTCTGGGTTTCCTCTTCTAGGCCGCATCCTGGGAGCCCGGCTGCCCCAGTATTACCAGGTGCTCACAGCTCCAATGACGAAGGTGAGGGGCTCCCCGGCCTCAGGCTGCACCTCGCAGTGTGACATTCCCATCTCCTGAGGTCCCTGAGCCTCCCCCTCCTTTCCCTAACGTTTTGCTGTCCCAGGTGCTGGATCAGTGGTTTGAGTCTGAGCCTCTAAAAGCCACTCTAGCAACGGACGCTGTGATCGGAGCCATGACAAGTCCCCGCACTCCAGGAAGTGGGTGAGTGCAGGAGACAAGGGGGGGTAGTAGGAGAGGAGTGAATTCGTCCCCAAAAGTGATAACTATCATTCACTGAGCTCACCCCGCGAACCAGGCATGGAGCCACGCACTTCATACACAATCCTTCTAACCCCCAAGTTAACATCTAAGAGCCGTGGTTCAGAGAGGGAAAATATCTTGCCCAAAGTCACACAGTTAGTAAGTGGTAGAGCTGATTTGCAGCCCAAATTATCTGACCTTCCTCCCCAAAACCCTCCTTCTTAGCCACTACTCTCTGTTCTTCACTAAGAAAAGCCCCTCACTGCCTCCCACTGGGGTAGATCACATGCACATACCGTCTTCCCACTTTTTCTCCTCTTCTTTCCCTCACTCACTTCTCTTCCTATCTCTTCCTCTCCCAGGAAGCCCGGCTGTCCCTCCACCTCCCTCTGATCCTTTCCCTGGGTCCCAGGGCATGGTCACACCCAGGCACCGTTGTGAGCGTGGGAAGCTGCCTTTCGCTCTGTGAGTGGGTTGTGCTGACAGGCTGGTCCGAGAGGGGGCAGTCAGACACAGTGGAGTCCTTAGTTGTGTAGGACTCAGTGAGCCTCATAAGAGCAGGAAGGGAGGGTGTGTGTGTGTGTTGGGATGGAGGATGCTGCCAGGTGTTGGGCCCTGTCCAATGCGCCAGAAGATGCAGCTAGAAGCTGTCAATGTGGCTTTTCTCTCAAGGGAGGAGAGCGCCCTTTGGAAGTGGTTTCCAGCCTGCATTAAGCCGGCCCCAGGTTCCCCAGGGCCGTGGCAGAGGGGGATTGGCAGCACTTGCCACACCTTGGCCAAACTCTGTGACCAGACAGCCAAGTTGGACCTTTCAGCTGGGGCCTCCTCTCCCTTTTTCTGTGGGTCTCCAGGAGGATTAGCTACTTCCCAGGTTGTAAAATGTGCCTTCAAGTAATTTGTTTCTTCATTAATTCTTTCAATAAATATTGATGGAGCACTTGCCTATGCTGGGTGCTGGGGCTAGCATAGTGGTACACGGAGCTGAAATCCTGTGGGTGAGAGGTAGACTCAGAGCAAGTAATGACAGTGGAGTGTTGTGAGCACCGTGATCGGGGAAACAAAGCCGGGGAACCATGTGCTCAGGAGTCAGAGAAGCCCACCACGAGAAAGAGGTGTTTAGTCTGTGATCTAAGGACAGGAGGAATTAATTAAGTAAAAGATGAGGGAGGAAGGGGGCCGCAGGCTGTGAGAACAGCGTGTGCAAAGGTTGGGAGTTGAGAAGCCGTGTGGCCTATTCAAGAAACTGGAAGAGGTGCGGTTTGGAAGGGGTGCAGGGGGTACACAGCAAGGACGAGGCTGACAAGCAGGCAGGAGCCTGGGGGCCCTTTTCAGAGTCTGGCCATGCTGCTAAGAGCAACAAGCCAGTGAAGGCTTGAAAGGAGAGAAGAGATGGGAACATAGCTGGGTGTTGAGATCAGGCTCCAGGTTCTGCGTGGAGAAAGGTCCGCAGGAAGAAAGAGCAGGAGAAGGTGGGCCAGTCGGGGAGAACTTACCGCAGTGGTTTGTGGAAGAGGAGAGAGGGGCCTGGACAGGGAAGCCACAGCAGGGAGCAGGGGCGTGGGGCAGCTCATTAGGAGGCAGTTACAGCCCGTGATTGGATGTAGGCAGTGGGAGACAAGTAGGAGGCACCCAGGTTTCTTCTGGAAGCCAAAGATGCCATTTACCAGGATGGCGAAGACTGAAGGAGAAAGAGGCTGGGGAATGTGGGAAAGGGGCGGGTTTAGGTGCCTGCCAAGAAACCGTCCAACTGGAGATACCTGTGGACAAATGGGCTGGAGCGCAGGACAGAGCTGGGGCTGTGGGTGTGGGCATCATCGCCTTGTTGTTGATACCAAAGCTGCACGCAGACACACTTGCATGGGGAGGGAATGTAAGATGGGGAAGCCAAGGACTCTAAGGAGAACCTAGATCCCATTGAAAGGCTAGTGGGGCAGGGTTGGGTGGGGAAGGGAGAGGCCGAAGGTACGCGAGAGGATGGAGTATTTGCACCTTGAACTCTGGGGAGATTAAATCCCAACTGATTCCAATGATCTGCCCTCAGGTATGTGCTGCTGCATCACATGATGGGGGGCCTGGAGGGGGTGCAGGGAGCCTGGGGCTACGTCCAGGGTGGCATGGGTGCCCTCTCTGGTGCCATCGCCAGCTCAGCCGCCGCACATGGAGCAAGTATCTTCACTGAAAAGGTGAATGGCCCCTATACTCCCTGTTCAGATTACTGGGTAGGAGCCTAAGGTAGAGCAAAATCTCCGATTTGGAAGTTCCCTCGTTTTACCAATGGTTGAGGCGGGGCTCAGCATCCAGGGGCTCAGGTTATACAGCTTGTTAGTAGCTGAGCAGGGGTCAACCAGGTCCCAGCTTTTCTGCCGCCTTTGAATTCCCCACCGCTAATCCACACCCGGGCTGCGCCTTCCAGCTGGAGGGGACGGCTGAGGCTTCACCGAGGAGCTGCAGAGCTCGGCAGGGTGGATTCAGATGGGGAAGCTGTGAATGTCTAGGAGCAGCAGAGATGACGGACATCCTTCAAGATCTAACCTAGTTTTCCTTCCTGGGGGTTTCCGGGGCCTTGTTCCTGTGGGGTCTAGCCAGTGGCTAAGGTGCAGGTGAGCAGTGGAGGGCGCGTTCAAGGCGTCGTGCTACAAGACGGCTCAGAGGTGAGGAGCAAAGTGGTGCTGTCCAACGCATCACCGCAGATCACCTTCCTGAAGCTGACACCACAGGTGAGGCCTGGGGAATGGAGGTGAAGGTGTCTGCCAAGACAGGAGCTAAAAAAATGGGGTGATCAGGGAGGCTGGACTGCACCAGGGTGGGAGATGCAAGTGCCAAGTCTATGCACATTGAGGGAAGCCAGTCCTTCTGTTTCTTACCTAGCAGGCAGGTAGGCAACAGGAAAGAAGTCACACACTCTCTGAGAGGTGTCCAGAGAGGTGAGGTGCCCTAGGGCATGCAGGTGGCAAGGGACAGAGCCAGAGCTGGACCCCAGGTCTGACTTTCAATCCAGAGTTATTTATACAACTCCCCTGTCATGCTGATTGCGCCCTCCTAACCAACCCCAGTTCCCGTCTGTGTCCATGACCGGTTTCCATTTGAATGGCGTGTAACAACCACCCATGTGACTTTGAGGCACAGCACAAGAAATACTGATTTAGCATAGCGAGCTGGAGAAATCAGTTGATATTCGTTGAGTTCAGCTGATGTCGCTTGCTCGTCCACCTCCGCCCGCTACGAGCTGACTAGTGGGCCCTGCTGATCTCAGCTGGGCTTGCTCCCATGCCGGGGGCAGTGGGCTGTGGCTTGTGCTGCGTGGTCTCTGCCGGAATGACCGGGTGACTTGGCTGTGCTCCACCTCTCTTTCATCCTCTAGCATATTACCAGCATCTGGCAGAAGTCAAAAGCAAGCAAACCCAACCATGCAAGTGCTTTGCAGGCTTTTGTTTGCATCCTATTTACTAACACTGGTCTAGCCTCATGGCCAACCCCAGAGTCAGAACAGGAGAACGTGACAAAGCGGCGTGCATTCAGGGAGGGGGGAGGATTTGGAGTGATTTTTGCAGCTGACCACAACTCCCCGTCCCTAAAATAGATGATACTATGTGTGCGCACATGGAGCCTCCACCCGTTCTGGGGACTACTCCTGGGGCATGCACCACTTTTTCTGAGTGATTCTACTAATAAAATCCAACAAACATTAGTTAAAAAGCATCTTGCTAAGGCACTTCTGAGATCATCGAGATTTCCAGGAGCTTACGGACTGGAGGCAAAAGAGGCCCGCAGACCACTGGCCATATCTAACACAGGAGTTAGATATTTGCGCAGCCAAATTTCAACCACGCTCACCCCTGCCTGGTGACCTTTCCTGAGCAGGCCCAGCAAAACAGCTGCTGGGCAGCCTGACACCCAGAAGAAGCGGAGACTGCTTCCTGCCCCTCCCTGTTCACCAAAAAGTGTGGGCCATTTACAGCCAGGACTGCTGGCAGATCACACAGGGAGAAGTGGTTTGTGCTGAGCAGGAGCAGGGGGGCTTCTCGGAGGAGGTGTTTTGGCTGATCTCTGAAAGGTGGAGAGGATTTCTGGAGATAGAGGTTAAGAGACCAGTCTGAGAAGGCAGCCGCTTTGGGGCCTCCACGATTCCCAGACCTGTTATGGGAACTTCTGCTTCCAGGAGTGGCTTCCTGAAGAGTTCGTGCAGAGGATCTCTCAGCTGGACACCCAGTCACCTGTCACCAAGATCAACGGTAAGAGGCGCGCCCTGTTGTGGAGCCGTCTCATTGAGGCGATCTGAGTAAGCCATGGCCGGGTCTGGGGAAAACGGGCCTACGTCATCATGTCTATCCCCAACCCCCAGCCTGCCCCCCAGTTTGAAAGTGAAACACTTTTTCATGCTTTCTCTTCCTAGCCTAACACTTGGGTGATGGGCAGAGAGGGAGGGTGCCGGGGGGCTGAGGACACAGGCCTTTGGGCCCTGATCCCTCCTCTGCTTTGGTTCCTCAGTGGCTGTCAACAGGCTGCCTGACTTCCTGGCAGCCCCCAACACTCCCAGGGGCCAGCCGCTGCCCCATCACCAGTGCTCCATCCACCTGAACTGTGAGGACACCCGCCTGCTCCATCAGGCCTTTGAAGATGCTATGGATGGCCGGCCCTCCCACAGGTGGGTGGTCCCGGGGCTTTGCGTCCCCTGCGGTGTTCTCACACAGGGCCCTGGTGAGGTGGGGGGACTGTCCGGACGCAGCCGGGATCGCCTCTTCCGCCTGGCATTAGATGTTCACAATGACGTAGGACCTGCCTAAATCCATACTTAGATTTTAAGACTTGGAAATGCACCCCAGGCAAGAAATCTGTGGGCCCAGGCAGGTAAGAAGTGAAGAGTCAAACACGTTCGGCCAAGTGTCACAGGTTAGCAGAAGGGGCAAAAGACTGCAGAGGGGCCAGTGCTGGCGTTTGAGAAGAACTGGAGAAACATTTTCTGGAAGAGAAAAGGTGGTTCTCTAGTTCAGCAACCCAACCAAAGGCACACACTCACTTGATTCTATATTTCCTTTTACCTCTGAGAAGCTGCCTCAATGCAAAAATGGGAGGTAGGAAGTAAAGGCATTTCCTACCTCCCACCGCACCCCAGCTGTGTCTCCATGCTTCTAGGAACAGGCAGGGATGTTGCAGGAGCAAGCATCTTTGCATACTGTCAACCGTCCACCAAAACGTGCTGAAAACTTATTCTGTGCTGGGTACTGCATAGTCATTGGTTAGGAGAACAGGGGACACAAACACAAAGTTTATCATAAGACAGGCACACAGCTATTTATAGCATGAGGTAAAGAGGATGTGCGCCCTGAGAGAAGGGTAGAGGGCACAGCCCACTTATCCATTCATAAATCTTTCGGGGCCCCTACTCTGTGCCAGGCTCAGTCTAGGGACCTGGGCGCAAAGCAGCAAGAAGAGTCAGCAAGGCCTCTGCCCTCAGGTCACTGGCATTTTATGGTGGGAGACAAGACAGGCAACAAGCATGCACTGATGAGATGAAGAAAAGTAGGTCAGGGGATGGAGAGGTGTTGTCTTTATTAGGAGGTCAGAAAAGGCTTCTCTGATAACAGGACATCTGAGCAGAGACCTGAAGAAAATGGGAATACAGGTCTTGTGGGCACCTGAGGAAGAACAGCCAGACAGAGAGAAAGTCAGGTGCAAAGGCCCTGGGGCAGGAGGGTGGTGCTGTGCTGGTGGCACAGGAATGAGGCTGCGGTGGCTGGAGAAAGAACCTGGGAGTGAAGGGCAGGAGGCAGGGTCTGAGCTGCAGCTGCTACATCTGTGGGGCCATGTCGACCGCTCTCGGATTTTACTCCAGGGAAGTTGGTGCAGAGCCTGACTTACATTTTAGAAGGGCCACTGTGTCCACTCTGTGGAGAAAAAGGGCATCTGTCGTGATTGGCTGCTATTACAGAGTCTAAGAGAGAAAGGATGGTGGCTTGGACCAGGGTAGGGGCAGTGGGAGTGATGAGAAGTGGCCACATACCACCCTGTTTGAAGGTAAAGCTGCTAGGATTTGCTGTTGGACAGGAAATAGGGCGTGAGTGAGAAAGAGAAGCCATGGGAAGATGGTGTTTCTTTTTGTTGAAAGGGGGGAAGATGATGTGTTCAGGGAGCAGCAGGTGGTAGGGGATACCAGGCATTTGGGTTTGGACAAGTTGCTTTGGAGAGGCCTGGGGGACAACCGAGTCCGGAGGAAATGCTGCAAGTGTGGGGAGAAGGGGCCTGTCACCTGGCCTTAAGGGTGGTCCTATCTGGAGGCCAGAGGAAGAATGTGCTTCAGGTAGAGCAGGTGCTGTGAACAGGGAGGGGCAGGAAGCAGTCTCCGCTTCTTCTGGGTGTCAGGCTGCCCAGCAGCTGTTTTGCTGGGCCTGCTCAGGAAAGGTCACCAGGCAGGGGTGAGCGTGGTTGAAATTTGGCTGCCCAAGCACTTGCTGTCCTAGCCTCGTTCCTCACTTATCCATGTTTTCTGTCTGGACCCTGGGGACATTTGAGATCCAGTGTTCTACAGGCTGTGAGGTGGAGGAAGGCAGGGACAGGCCACGCCTTCAGGGCTGGGGGACCTCCTCAGGGGTCATCTGGAATCTCCTAGTGGCCACTGACCCCGTGCTGGTGACCAGCCACCATGGCCTTAGAGTGACAATCAGCCCAGCCTTGGTGTCATCTTGCCCCATATCTACATTTTGTCCCCTGTCATCTCAGAGTGGCCCCCAGCCCCTTCCCTTCGGGCAACTGCCCCTTCAGATCTGTCAGTCTCTCCTCTTGTCACAGGCCCATGATTGAGCTATGCATACCTTCCTCGCTGGACCCCACCCTGGCTCCCCCCGGCTGCCACGTGGTCTCCCTCTTCACTCAGTACACTCCCTACACTCTGGCCGGAGGCAAAGTCTGGGACGAGCAAGAGAAAAATGCTTATGTGGACAGAGGTAAAGAGGGCCGGCCTTTGCTGCCTCCAGAGCACCAGGGGGCGCTACGGTCCAAATGGACCCCTCTCCTTCTGACCACTCCATTCGGGATTAACAGCTTCCGATTCTATCCCAATGGGGAGAGAAGTCCCCAAGGGAATCTAAGTCGATGTAGTGAATGTCTTCTAGGGTCAGGCACTGGGCCAAGAAAGTCAGAAAGACAGTTCCTGGCCTCAGGTTGCTGACACGTCAAGTAATAAAGAAACACGTTACAGTGCAAGGCACCGTGTGAACCAAAGGAGGAAACGATGAGCCAAGGAGACAAGGAGAGCTTTCCAAAGAGGGGGGCCATTTGGGCTGGGCCTTACAGGACGAATAGGAGTGAGCCTGGCAGCAAAGGGCATTCCAAGCAAAAGAGACAGGTTGAACTAAGCAATAAGGTGAAGAACGCCTTGCACAGTCAAAGGGAGGCAGATGACTTCGTGTTTAGGGTCAGGGTGAGAAGGTGAGAAAGAGTGAAGGGCTGGACCAGCCTGAGACCCATAGGCCTTTGTGCTGGATTATTTATTTGCCTAGGGACTAATTTTGTTATTGTTTTGCTTATTGAGATATAATATGCATATTCTAAAATAAAGCCATTTTAAGTGTATAGTTTCATGAACTATAGTCAATTTGCCACATCGTGAGCAGTAACCCCTCTTCCTCCTCCCACCACCCCTGTCCCTGCTGTCTGGTGCCAGTGTTCGACTGCATCGAGGCCTACGCCCCTGGCTTCAAGGGCTCCGTGGTGGGCAGAGACATCCTCGTACCACCTGATCTGGAGAGAATCTTCGGGCTTCCTGGAGGGGTAAGAACACGCCTGAGGGTTGCTCATCACATTCTTCTCTCTGCAACCCTGCTCCACACCCAGCCTTCATTGGAAGGGAGGACAGTGGCAGAGACCATGGCAAGGACGGGGCAGATCCAGGGAGCTGGGGGAAGAGTGTGGATAGGAGGCGGCGGCTGCTGAGAAGGTGGCCCTTCCGCCTAGACATCCACGTCAGCCTACCCCATTTGAATTTCTTTAGAGGGCGCTCCCTTCCTTAAGGCAGCGTATCTCTGGACTTCTAGTCCATGCATCCAAAACTTACTGAGGCTGGAGGCCGGGAGACCAGGTAGGAGACCAGTTCCAATGGAAGAGCCACTAGGCCCATGTGGCTATTGATCGCTTCGGTGTGTCTGAGCCAAAATGAGATGGGTTGCAAGTGTAAAAGGCGCACCAAACTGCGAATACTTAGTGTGAGAAAAATGTGAAGAGTCTCATTAAATATTGTTATATTAATCCCATATTCCCATATTGAAATGGTAATATTTTGGATCTCCTGGGTTAAATGAAATATATATTGACATTCATTTCACCAGTCCCCTTTTAAAGTTTTAATGTGGCTACTAGAAAATAAAACATCTGTGGCTCATGCTATGTTTTCATTAGGCTGCAGTGGCCCAGCTATAGAATAAAGGAGGCCAGGCAGTGGGAAGGGAAGGAGTGGCGGGCGTGGAAGGCATGGGGCAGGCGGAAGTTAGAAGCCTTGCTGACAATGTGCACGCAGAGGTCAGGTGCAGGTGGCAGACGTGGGGGATCCAGGCTGGAGGCCGCGGTGTCGTCTCCTGAGGCAGGGAAGATGGGAGAGCGCAGACTTGTGGGACAAGGATAAGCTCAGTTGGGGACACGTTGAGCACGCTGGCTCGAAGGACATCCCTGTGGTGACGTCCTGCAGATGTTGGTCTTCTCATCCAGACCTGCCCCATGAGCCCGACCTTCACTCGTCCACACTGCCTCCCTCCGAGGCTGGTCCAACCCAGGCCATCGGAGCAGAACTGAGCTTGGACCCCCATGCCCTTTGTCTGCCACTTATTGTGGCTGGCTGGAGCATAGGGCCCGGGGCCCAGGCTTGGATGTGTGTCTTGATCAAAGAAACATGTGCCAGCGGCTAAAATAAGTCAAATTCCTCTATGTTCAAACAGTGAGCAGGATTCACAGCCTGCAGCAAAGCATTTAGATTCCCGGTCTAAAATTTCCCATGCGGTTTCCTCGCACCCTGAAGACAGTCCCCGCCCTTCTTTCTTCCTGAAAAGATGCCTCTGGAGAACCACGTCCCCAGCCCCAGGACACGCACCTTCTCTCTCTTCCCCTCCCCTTTATGCATTGTAAGAACCAAGGAAACATCACGGGAGGAGACCCTTCCTCAGAGAACAGGGGAGGGGGAGAAACTTGCAAAGATCATCATACTCCCCAGGTAACCACTGTGACCCTCCCTCCCGCAGAACATATTCCACGGCGCCATGACACTGGACCAGCTCTACTTTGCCCGCCCTGTGCCCCTGCATGCCAACTACCGCTGCCCTCTCCGGGGCCTGTACCTCTGTGGAAGCGGGGCCCATCCTGGTGAGTGACCTGCAGTCCTACCACCTGTGTGGGTGGCAAGGGCTGGCCAGACATCAGAGGCATGCAGACAGGGGACCCGGATAAGCAGCGAGGGAGGCAGGGAGAGAGGGCGGGGCCATGGGACTGCCACAGGAACGAGCCATCCCCCACATTCAGAACTCTCAGAATTCTTGGGGAAACATAGGGGCCGCTGCCAGGCCGGCCACAGCCCACGGTTCAGCCCGCTCACACTGCCACCTGTTGAGGTCTGAGGGTATGTCCCAGAGGCACCTCTCCAAATTCCAGTTTAGGACTGGGAGACCCATGTCCCTAAATTCCCCTTCCAGGGTTTAGGCCAATAAGGATCTAGTAAGACAAAGTTTCTCAATGTACAAATTCTTCCTTGCACCTGTCCCAGACTTAGCTGACTTCACTGAGGCCGCCACTTTGTTTTGACACTTTCTCTGCACTGAGCAGCCTTCAGCCTCCCGTAAAGGCTCTGTGCTTCCACATCCTCCCCCTCAAGCCCTCAGTCTTTCATGTGCTGAGTGAGAGCCTCACCATCTAAGCACATCAGCTCTCAGGCTGACAGGGGACACCTCCTTGGACTGTGTGCCCGGGCCCCTCCCCAGGACTCTTGCGGCAGGAAACCCTCAGGGGGCCAGAATCTGTCTTCACGGTCATCAGGGTGGCCCTGCCCATGGCCCGATTGCCTCTCTCGGGCATCCCCACTCTGTTTGGCCGCAGGTCCCCTGCAAGCCCTGGCCCTGCCCCCTCCCTGGGTTTCGGGATGAGTGCAGCTTTGGTTCATGGGAGATTCCCTTCCAGGAGGAGGTGTCATGGGAGCCACTGGACGTAATGCAGCCCACGTTGTTTTTGGGGACCTCAAAAGCATGTGACCCTAACCCAGGAAGAAGAATCCACCCTTGAGCTTTTAAAGCCCCATTGGGTCATCTTCACAGGCTATGGCTGGAGGCAGACCAGTCCTCAAGGCTGAAGTGACTATTTTAGAAAAAATATTCAAGTTGCATTTGGTACTGATTACCCTTGTAGCTGTGCCTTCAGGAATGAACTGCTTTTATTTTATTAAAAATAATGTCTTAACCCTTGCTGTTGTGGCTCAGTGGATTGAACACTGGCCTGTGAACCAAAAGGTCACTGGTTCGGTTAACAGTCAGGGCACAATCCTGGGTTGCAGGCCAGGTCCCCAGTAGGAGGCACACGAGAGGCAACCACACATTGATGTTTCTCTCCCTCTCTTTCTCCCTCCCTTCCCCTCTGTCTAAAAATAAATAAAAATAATCTAAAAAAATGTTTTATACAGGTAGTTTGCGCTGTTCTATGTATTAGTAGAATAGGTAATGTGGGATTATGTAACCGTATGTCTGTGTGACAGCAGGTGGGGTCTGCTCATCTAGAATACCCACCATTCTCACAACACCAGCTCCAAACAGCCCATGTGGCCAGCAAGCATCCCCATCTTGCGGCTGGGCCCCCACGACCGTCAGATCGGATGACCGCCTGCTACGGCCCAATCTACCCAATCTACAGTCCAGGCAAATACGACCCAGCTCCCCAGAGACCCACCAGTCATCCACTGGGGCCACAGGCCTGAACAATGCTTGGTATCTCAAACTGTCAAAATTACCAGTCAGCAGACAGCCATCGAGGGTGAATGCAAGGTAGGTGCAGGTGTGGGCCAGCTGGGAGCCCACATTCCTGCCTCTAGAGCATTCCACCTCTTACTTCCTGTAAGTGAGACATACTTGTCGCATCACTAAAATCTCTCCACACAAACATGCTATTAGAGAGTGGGTTGTCACTCTTGGTTAGAAAGATTCACGCAAACGCGTGTGTGGTAACACACCCTCCCAGCCAGCTTCTCCAATCCCAGATCCAGGGCCACAGGCCCAGTCGGCCCCATGGGCAGAGGAGGCGGAAGATCCCCTGGGGCATCTCATCCCTCCTTTCCCCAGGCAAGTTTAGACAGATTGATATACCCACCTCATTACTTAACCTCGCTGAACTCAGGTTTCTCATCTGCAAAGGCATTGCAATTTAAAGATCAAGACAGAAGGTCATGTTTTCAGTCCAGCATCTGGCACATGGTGCGTATTCAGTGCATGGTGGCGGTCTTGCTGCTAATACTGTTGGTGGAGATGTTGCTGTCATTTTTGTACTCTGCAGAAGGGAAGGAGGGAGGGAGGGAAAACGGAGAATGTGAAATGAGGGCAAGTGCTGGCTGATATCTGGTGTGAGATGTGTCTTCTTTCTCTGTGAAGTTGCCTTGTTCTCATCACCCTGGTGTCACAGCTCAGCCCTTTCTGTCACATAAAGAGAACAGAATTGAGAACAAATACAAATTTGTAAAATCTTCAGAGGCCTGGGGCTTCTGACTTGGTCTTTCAAAATATTAATAGTTGGGACTTTTCTGGTAAATAAAAGTCAAAAACGCCTAATTCAAGAAATTTTAAAAATATAATGAGAAAGAGCATACAACTCAAACATAGTCTTACCTGAAGAAATAATCATAGTTACCATTTTACAATATTTCTAGCTAGTCTTTTAGATAATTTAGATCACATCCTATATTCTATATGTGAGTTTTATATTTTTCTTTTACTTTGTGTCATGAGCATTTTTCAGTGTTAAAAAAATTCTTTGAAAACACTAGTTTTGATAGCTGTCTGATAGTCTCTTGTGAGGTGTACCATCATTTATTCTGGGACACTGAGTTCAGCCTTGGACTTGATTGCTGATCAGCTCCAGCCAAAGGTAGGAAAGCTACTCCTTTACCACATCTGCTCCTACTTGAATGACTCATGGTCCCGTCCACCAGGATGCAGCTGCTGTCCAGGCAAACATTCCCTCCAAAGGGGGAGGAACTCAGAGAAGTCCAAGGAGAGGCCAAAGAGCAGCTTCAGCAGCGAGAGAAAGAATTTCCCACTGTTTGGTGGCTTTCTGTCTGTTCTCAGGGCTCTGGAAGACGCATTTGGTTCACCACCGGGCCTTTGCCCTACGGGGCGCCTTGGCTCCTACCAGCCCCCAGCACATGCCAGCCAGCTGAGAAGTGGGATTGGCCACGGATCAGGCCATGGGTCCCTTGCTGACTCCAGAACATAAAGCCCTTACAAGGATAAATAAGCAGCATATCGTTACCTGATTTACACTTGTCCGTTTCCCCAAAGCAGCGGGGAGTCACTTCCTCTGCGGCACAATTGTATAAAAACCCCGACAGGCTTGTGAACTTGACCTGGCAAAGTTGTTAGGTAACGTGGCCAGCCCCGCTGGCCCTGATGGCCCCTGGGTGACGGTGTCCCGAGTCTGGGTGAGATGTGAGGTTTACAGTCTGGGAGGAATCCAGGCATCCTAGTTGGAGGGGTGACAAATGTGGCTGGCCAAGCCACCTGCAGTCCTGTGAGTGTGCATCTTCCTGACGCGTGTTCTGTTTGCAAAGCATTTGACAGCACTGAGTCCTTTTGTGGGATATTGATGTTACCCCTCCCCACCCCACCCCCTGTGGTAAAGGAAGAGAAGCAGCAAAGACAGAGACCTGCCCAAGCACATCAGGGCGTTCTGTGGAGGAGGGCAAAACATGTGGAATAAAAAGGAACACAAAATGCAAAATACTTCACTGAAGCCAAATGCAGGGGGGAAAATGCAAAATAAGGAAAAGCAAATGGCCAGCACACCTAAAAAAACAAAATAAAACAAAACTTAACCTCACTAGTAATCAAGTAAATTCAATTAAAACCAAACTATTGTGTTTTAACTATAAAATTAAGAAAAATTATTTGTAGTAGAAAATGACCAGTGTAGGCAGAAAAAGATATTCTCATATGCTGTTGGCAAAGGCATAGATTTGTATTTGATAATGAGACTCAAAAGACAACATCCAAAAGTCACCCCATTTGGTGGGTTATTCAACAGCTTGTCATTTAGCCTAAGGAAAATATCAGAGCTGTCCCCAAGGCTAGAAGTACAAGCATATTCATGCAGTGTTATTTGAAAACAGCTGAAATGTCTCAAAATAGAGAATTAGTTAAATTAATCATGGTACTGCATGGAATGGATGATCAAATGGCAATGTTTTTTAAAAAATCACATTTTGAAATTACTTTTTTTAATAACATGAAAAAATGCTGATAAAATGTAAGACAGTGGGATCCCAATTTGATTTGTAAAGATAAAAGTATATAGCTGTCTCTAATATAGACATGTATGTATATATTTTTATATATTAGAGATATATGTATGATATACTTACCATATATATACATACAGACACAGAAAGAGAGACATGGAGAACAGAGAGACAAATGGGAAAGAAACAAGTGCACCCAAATGTTAGCAGTAGCCTGAAGTCTTTCTGCCACTTGATGGCAGTTTGGAAAATCCTCCTTACTGCCTTCATATAACCTATTTTAACTTAGGAACAAATCCAAAGTAAATGGATAGGACTTTGAAACTGTTGAAAATGATGGTCAAGGCCTGGTCCAAATAACTTATTACTTGTGCACGAATGTACTGATCATAAGCCTGTGAATTTCCAACACGTCTGGGTCTCAGATTTCCTTAGTGGGGGTGGGCGGTCTCCATCGCCACCACAGAGGGGACAGGCAGCACATTGCCAGTGTTCAACCGCCCAACAGAAGTCCTGTGTTCTAGTACTGGATGCTACAGAGGTGACCCCAACCGAGAACTTTCTTTCGATTTATCTGAAATTATTTCAGTTATGTTATGCTTGTTGTCAGATCAACAACTCTATGGTGAGATATGTCTTTGACTAATAAAGAAATTGCAAGATGAATGAAATGACACTGAGCAAAGGACATTTGCTTGGTAGCATGGTATGCAGACATCTTCCAAAACAATGGGTCTCTTAAGAAGAAGTAATAGCATTGTCAATAGTGAAAAGGCATTGGAGCCAGACCTACCTTCCCCACTGTGTCAGTTGGCCTTTCCTCCTGCTTGCTCTTCCAGGACCTGTGGAAGAAGTGTAGGTCTGGCTCCGATGCTGCTGTGCACACAGGCACTGTGGGTGCCTTCCTCACAGAAGAGATGCGAGGAATATATATATAACATACATATTGTATAAATGCATACATACATTATACCTGATGATTTCAATTCAAATTGTGCTCCTAGATTTCAAAGTATTTCCATCTAAAATGGCCCTGTGATCTGGACGCCTCTCCCATGATGGTTGGCCACCTGTCCCCAGCGGGGTAAGCCTGGAGTCAGCCATCACTGTGGTCGTTAGTCAGAGACACTGGGGTTTGGATGCTGGTTCTACTACCATTTGACCTTGGGAAAGTTCCTTAACTCTTCTGAGTGTTGGTTGCTTTTGACTAATGGGGATAGTGATTTTTTTGCCTAGCATGAGGCACATGACAAAAAATAGTTTTCTTCCTTACAAAGTGACATGTTACTGCATTCAGAGGGTTCAGGCAAGGTGAGAGGCACTCTGGAACATTCTGGGCTCACATGAAGCAGAGGAATGAAATTCAAGCCACCACATCAAGAAATGGAACAAGATTCCTTTCAATTTCAGGTTTGAAGATCTCTCAGAGAGCGGGCCCCCAAGCTAGGAGCTTCCATCCTAGGGCAGCAGCAGCCACATGCACTTCTATAATCAACTACACCAACTCACCCACACATAGATCAATATGTCAGGGCAAGAGAGAAAGAAGCAGGCAGGGAAGTTTGCCAAAGGTGGAATCTGTGTGTGGGCTGGTGAGCTGTATTTCTGGCCCAATAAATCAATCTGCCTTGAAAGAGCTCCTCCAACTCCATGACTGTAATTGGAGCTCCCTTCCTACCTGGCAGTTTGTTACGTTCAAGGTCAGGTGACAAGCACAGGTTTTCAGACTTGTACACATTCTCTCTTCACCTGCCT